TCGCGTTACTCCCACGCCTGTTGATGATAACGCCATTGTTGTTGGGTCCTCTCTCTCTGATACCCTTCAGAAGTTTTGGGAAGTTGAGGAACCCCCCTCCGAACCACGAGTCAACCCAGAGCAAGAGGAATGCGAATTATTCTATCAGAATAATACTGGTCGTCTCCACTCTGGTCGTCTCTTGACTCGATTGCCCTTTCGTGCCGGTCGACCTCCTCTGGGTGAATCCAGAATGCTAGCGGAAAAGAGGCTAGTGTCGATGGAGCGCCGCATGAGCAAAGACCCGGTCTTCCGTAAGAAGTACATTGACTTCATGCGGGAGTATGAGGTGTTGGGCCATATGTCGGTATCGGATTTGGATTGGCGCTCGGTGGAGCATTACTTCCTTCCGCATCATGCTGTTTTGAAAGGAGGTAAAATTCGTGTGGTATTTGATGGTTCCGCCCCTACGTCTTCTGGTGTCTCCCTTAATCAATGTCTGCATGTAGGTCCTAAGATGCATAAGGAGATCTCAGACATCCTTACGAATTTTCGTAGACACCAGATTGTATTTATGACGGATATCCGAATGATGTTCAGGCAGACTGTTATTCACCCGGATGACCGTCGTTACCAGCTGATCTTGTGGCGGGAATATTCACGCGATCCCCTTCTGGTGTACGAGCTCAACACGAATACGTACGGTTTGGCTTCCAGTCCGTTCGTAGCCATACGTTCGTTGTGCGAGTTAGCGGAGAGGGAGCGTTTGAACTATCCTCGTGCGGCTGAGGTGTTGATTAACGACGTATATGTCGATGACATCTGCACAGGAGCGTCTAGCATAGATGAGGCATTGGTCTTGCGTGATGAATTGGTGGCTATCATGAAGGCAGGAGGATACGAGTTAAGAAAATGGTTGTCCAACTCGCCTGAAGTCCTCGTTGGTCTGCCTGAGGAGCACCAACAAGACCCTCATATTTTTGAGAATGCTGACAATCCTAACATGGTAACTGTTCTTGGAGTGCAGTATAAGCCTGTCCCGGATATCTTCACGTATTGTATTGACTTGAGGATTCCGAAGATCTGGACTAAGCGTCTAGTGTTGTCAACCATAGCGCGAACATTTGATCCCAATGGATGGATAAGCCCAGTTACATTTTTGGCTAAGTGTTTTTTGCAGCGTCTATGGGTTCTTGGAGTGTCATGGGATGAGCCCCTCCCGGGAGAGTTGCTCTCTGATTGGGTAGATTTTGTGTCATCTCTCCCTGACCTCAATAGGGTGTCGCTGCCGAGACTATTTCTCCCGACTGGGAAGTTCAAAGCTAGCCTACACGGATTTTCAGATGCTTCCGAACGCGGATATGCTGCGGTTGTATTTCTCCGCACCGTGACTGTTGCCGGAAACATTGCCATCCATCTGGTAAGGTCGCTCCCCTTCGGACACGTCTTACCATTCCGAAGATGGAATTGTGTGGAGCAGCTCTTCTAGCACGTCTATTGAACCACGTTAATTCTACCTTGAGGCGTTCTGTAGAATTAAGTGACGTGTATGCTTGGACTGACAGTCAAATAGTTCTTTGTTGGCTGAAGTCTCCAGTCCATACTTTAGAAGTTTTTGTTGCGAACCGAGTGGCACAGATTCACAACTTGTCCGTTGATTTGGTTTGGCGTCACGTTCCCGGCGAGTTGAATCCGGCTGACTGTGCCTCTCGAGGTTGTAGGGCTTCACAGCTTTTGTATCACCCCCTGTGGTGGGGTCCAGAGTTTCTGACTCGACAAGAGTCGAATTGGCCGTCAGGACAAACTTTGACAGCTTTATCGCTTCCGGGAAAACATTGTTTGACTTTGGAGAACCAAGCCATGGATTTAGATTTTTTGTTGAATCGGTACAGCACACTTGATAACCTGATAGGAGTTACCGCTTGGATTCGACGCTTCTACAATAACGTTGGGTTCGTGTTGTACAAGGTGATGCCTTCAAAGAAGAGATAGCCACCTTGCGTAAAGGTAGTTGTAAATTGAAAGGTGCTATCTCACGGTTGAATCCCTTCTTAGATGAAGATGGCCTCGTCAGAGTAGGGGGCAGGCTTAGGAATGCTAGCTTATCTTTTGGAGCTCGCCATCCCCTGTTGCTGCCTAAAGATGGACATTTGATACAATTGTTGGTGACAGATCGTCATGTTAAAAATTCACACGCCGGTATCAATGCGTTGTTAGCTATCCTCCAGCGTGAGTTTTGGATTTTATCCGCTAGGAGGACTATTCGCAGCGTTGTGTTCCGTTGTATGCCGTGCTATAGGTTGAGAGCCACTACTATGCAACCCCACATGGGAGATCTGCCTGTGGATCGGGTTACGGAGAGCAGACCCTTTGCCGGAGTTGGCACTGATTTTGCTGGTCCTTTCCGAGTAAAGACATCGCGACTAAGAAATGCCAAGTGCTATAAAGCGTATTTGTGTGTCTTCGTCTGTCTATCCACCAAGGCTGTACATTTGGAATTAGTTTCGGAATTGTCGACGGAAGCTTTCATAGCTACGCTTAGCAGATTTGTATCCCGTAGGGGACTGCCGACATTAATTCGTTCCGATTGTGGCACCAATTATCAGGGTGCGAATAATTATTTGAAAGATATTTGCAAATTTTTAATTGATAACCAGGTAGACATTGGAACCACCCTCTCTAAACGTGGGATAATCTGGAAGTTCAGTCCTCCAGCTTGTCCGCACTGGGGTGGAATATTTGAGGCATGTGTGAAGGCGGCCAAGACTCACCTGCGTCGCGTTATTGGCGAAACCGTCCTTACTTTTGAAGAGCTTGACACGGTGTTCTGTAAAATTGAGGCCGTCCTCAATTCGCGACCCTTGTGCCCACTGTCCTCCGACCCAAATGACCTGGAGGCGTTGACTCCAGGCCATTTTTTGATAGGGCAGCCTCTTAACGCGTTGCCAGAATATCCGCTGAAAGATGTGAGGTGCAATCGATTGTCGCGATTCCAGCTATTGCAACAGTTGTCACAAAGTTTTTGGGCACGCTGGTCGCTCGAGTACTTGCACATCTTGCAGCAGCGCGTTAAGTGGACTGATAAGACCACTCCACCCAAGACGGCGTTTGTAGAATTATATATTAACGTTTTATGCTTTTAAGGTGTGCAGTATATACAGTTTTCTTACTGTAGGCAGGCCACTTTTTCGATATAGATCTTCAGTCTCTTCAGACTGATAAGACCACTCCACCCAAGAACGGGGACCTCGTTTTGGTGAAGGATACCAACCTTCCGCCTCTGTTCTGGCGTCGAGGTAGAATTGTTAAATTGATTTGCGGTGCAGATGGCATTCCCCGCTTTGCTGAGGTCTTGGTTGGAGATTCGGTTCTCAAGAGAGCGGTTACGAGCCTCTCTCGTTTACCCGTGGATTAACGTACCGTTCGTAACGGTCCGGGACGGGGGGATGTTCGGAAATCTAAGGGCACACGCCAGATTCCCTCCCGATTGATTAAGTAGTCGCATAGCAACAAGCGTATCGAGTGGTCGGTCGATCTGCGCACGAGTAAGGTGCTCCCGGCTCGCGTCGTTTTGTTGCCTAATTAAATTAATACCTACTCAGGTGTCTTGGCAGCCTAGATAGGGCCCCCTGTATATGTGTAGATGTTTGTGTGTTCCACTGTGTTTTGTGAGCAAGTGTTCCTTGGAGATTCAGGGCCTATTGACGGGCTTTGATCAGTTTCGACCTCGGGGGAGCGCTCCTCCCCTCGCTGCTGCTCAGGTGCTGTATGGGACACTTGCTAAGTGAGTTTTTTTGTATTGTTAATAGGATTAGGTATTTCTAACGTGCGATTCTAGCTCCGCGTATCGCGGACGTAGGTGTTTACCCCGGTATTTGGTTTTGGCTAGGGTGACGAGTTTTCCACCCCCCAGAAACCGGCCGTACGAAACACTTCTTAACAATTTTTGTACAAAAATTTTCAGTGATCGGGGTCCTCTGTTAAGCTAAAAAGCCTGTGTCAGGGGACGCCGCTCTTCCATAAGTAGTTTATTTTTATTTTCTAATTAAACAATATTTAATAATGTTCATGTAGCCGGTGTATGTGTGCGTGCGTGCATGTGTATGTGTGTGCGCGTGCGTGTGTTTGTGTGTGTGCGTGCGTCTATAGATGTGCGTGCGTGTGTATATGTGCGTGCGTGGGTATATGTGTGGGCGTGTGTGTATGTGTGTTAAGATGTGAGCCTCATTTTAACTCTTTTTCACTCTTTAGTTATTTAACCTTCTCAAGTAACATTTCGATTTCCTGATAGGTTTTTGCTTGCAGCCACTCTGTTATTGAACACTTACAAGTATAATAATTTTTATTGTATATTTAAAGCTTTTTATTTAAATTATTATACAATTCAGCTGAACGTGCGCCATACTGCCTCGTAGCAAAAGTAGTATTGCATTTTTTTTAAGTCGATCCTTTGCCTCCGGTTTGCTGCGTTTGTAGAATTATATATTAACGTTTTATGCTTTTTAAGGACTGTGTGCAGTATATACAGTTTTCTTACTGTAGGCAGGCCACTTTTTCGATATAGATCTTCAGTCTCATCTTTATGTTCTCTAAAAATGATCTTCATTGAAATAAAAGAGATCTTTCTAACAAACAAATATATTTATGAGATTATGACAACTAGGAAGACTTTCCAATAACATTGATTAAAATCAGATCTAATAAACTTTACAACATGCATGCAAACATTTACTGATTTCAAATAACTTTACAATTTCATTAATTCATATATTTTAATTGACATTAAAAAAAAAGTTAAAATTTTATTTGTGGAAATCATGAATAAAGAATTGACATATAGTGATTATTCCAATTATATTAAGAGCAGTTGACTGTCTATAAACACTTGTCGGCTTTTGAGAAGTTGTGGGTAAAAACACATTTGTAGATGTCATAAAAAACTGATGTGAAGTCTCACAACAACACTATACTTATTAGATATAAACCGTTTGTTAAGTTAACGAGTAAAGAAACATAGTTAAACTGTCAGGGACTTATCCCTGACAGTTTAACTATGTTTCTTTACTCATATGGTTTAACCATAGTTTTGACAACAGTTGTGGTTAAATTGTGGCCATGACTAGTCAGTGCTATGAATTTTTACAACTACATAACTACTTAAAAACACCGACCTATAGAGCTATATATTAAACGAGACTTTTACATCACAATCTATGCTTATCTAATAATATAATTAACTACAATGTCCGGGTCGAACTATAGTGCGATTCAAACTTACTTTATGGCGGTTGTGAAATTAGCAGCTAGAGCAACAGTGGTTCAGTTCAGTTCAGTAAAAACAATAGACAAAGAATGGACTGAGCATTGCCTGCATGAAATTGAATGCTCCCTAGAAAGGGAGGCCAATATCGCGGGAACAACGGGCAGGAAAGTGAAACAGACGAAGCGATCAGGCGACCAGTTCTTCGCGTTCGTATTCACTTGACAGCTGGTGAAGGAATACTCACTCCAATCTCTCTATTTTTATGGTATACAATACACCCCGGCAAAATTCTTGAGCAACAACCATAAACAAGGAAAACAGCGCAGTAGCAATTACACATACAAAAAATTCTACTGCGCAAATTTATTTGTCTATGGTACTTGTCTGCCTATGACAACTTCAGCACACCTGCTTTGTTTTACATATTTTCGTTTACTGCACTAACTTCACAGTCGCCAATTAGTGCTCATCGTTCGCTACTGTGAGCGGAACGCGTCGAACCGTCCGGTGATCAGTGCCGGCACGAGGCTACCAGACGGCAGACTGCGTCCGGCGACCGGTCCGGCCGCAGGCAACTCTAGTAGTACGCTTGCACCGCACGCGCTTAATAGCCGGCTGCTACACTGCAATGAGAGAAATTCACGATAAGGAGTTAATGGAGCGCTTTCTTTATGAAGCAATCATTCATAAAGACGAGGATGGAAAACTGCGTCAAACGAGAAAGGGAACTGTCGGCCAATAACAGAAAACTACCTTGTTCCCTACAAAGAGTTAAATTATTCCCCATAGCAAGTGGCTAATGTTGATTGACCTTGTAATATAACACATATCGGTAGGTCATATCTAAGCGACAAAGAAAAACAATATCCTCTCGTCTGAGTAAGTGGATGATTTCTTCCACGAGTTGAGAAAATTATTTACATTTTTTGCTTTTTATCATATTTAGTAACGGTTTTTAATTTACACTTCTTATATACACATAACTTTGTAGAGAAACTATGCAGGATTGATTTAAGATAAAAATGCAGCCTGGATGTAGACCTACCTGTTATAGTGTAGACTAAAAGCTCACCGGGTTCCCTAGCAACGTGGCAACAGGCATATCTTCCGCGTCCACGAAGCGAACAGAAGCCCGAGCGTATTTTGGTTACAGATCAAACGGCACACAGCAGTCGAGTCGCACGCACATCTTGACCTATTACCTGTTATAGTGTAGGTAGACTACAAGCTCACCTGGTTCCCTAGCAACAGGCATATCTTCCGCGTCCGGGAAACGAACAGTAGCCCGCGCGTATTCTGGTCGCGGGTCGACCGGCACGCAACCGTCGAGTCGCACGCGCATCTTGACCCATTACTTGTTATACTGTAGGTAGACTAAAATCTCACCTGGTTACCTAGCAACGTAGCAACAGGCATATCTTCCGCGTCCGGGAAACGAACAGTAGCCCGCGCGTATTCTGGTCGCGGGTCGACCGGCACGCAACCGTCGAGTCGCACGCGCATCTTGACCCATTACTTGTTATACTGTAGGTAGACTAAAATCTCACCTGGTTCCCTAGCAACGTAGCAACAGGCATATCTTCCGCGTCCGGGAAACGAACAGTAGCCCGCGCGTATTCTGGTCTCGGGTCGACCGGCACGCAGCTGTCGAGTCGCACGCGCATCTTGACCCATTACTTGTTATACTGTAGGTAGACTAAAATCTCACCTGGTTCCCTAGCAACGTAGCAACAGGCATATCTTCCGCGTCCGGGAAACGAACAGTAGCCCGCGCGTATTCTGGTCGCGGGTCGAGCGGCACGCAACCGTCGAGTCGCACGCGCATCTTTGCCCACGCGGCGCCGCGACCACTGCTCACGCGTAGAGCGCGGATCACGAACAATAGGCAGCATACGTACGCGGACACAGGGTTGCCTGTCAAGTGGAATGTACATTATGAGTTAGAACTTCGCTCGTTATGTTCTAAAGAAAATTTTAAATGTGTTCTATGTACTTATAGGTAAATGTCCACATCACGACGTCTTCAACGTGGAACGGTGTGGCAACACGGCACGGTGCGTTGACATAACGTTCATATTTACGACCAGGTTTGCACGTTGCCAACTCAAGGTGCCATGTTACCGCACCGTTTAACGTTGACGATGTCGTGACATGGAGTGTGAACAGGCACTAAGGTAGTGGCACCAATGACCGACAAGAACCAAAGATCGTAATTATTTTCTGTGATCAATGAAAATAAAAGTAGGTAACCAATCACTCAACATGGTGACACCGAGCGTCTATAGCTCGCTTGCTTACTCTAGACCTCATCAGTCTATGGACGTCCACAGTTGGACATAGGCCACAACGATCCTGCATTACTAAATAAGCTTCCCTTATTCAAAAATTGTTGACAGTGCGGGTGTGCTCCTTCGTCTAAACTCCAGATAATAAACGCGCGCTTCTTCGTTAGAAGCGGTTCACGAACAGCAGGCAACACTTATATATTACGCAGACTCTGGCTTGCCTGTTGGAGTGTAAATTAAAAGTTGGAACTCCGTGGGATACAGAATAATCACATTAACTGCCCAGGCAAGACTTAGCTTTGCAATGAGCACAGCAACAGTCTGAGCGCGTTCTGCTTGACTTTTTCTCTTCGAGACGTGCTGATACGTTTAGTACATTTGTTGAGAATGAAGAAGAAAGACTGCTGTTAAATTTACAAATAGCCACAGAGAGTGCAAGCTTATAGAACGTCTGAACAATGGACAAGCTCACAATAGGTGAACGGGACAATTTAAATGTGTTTTAAGTAAACTCCGTTCACTTCGCGCACATAAGTCACATATTTTCGAATGGAAGCACTTATATTTAACTTTATGGTTAAGAGTAAAACGGAGGCCTTAATGGACCTACTCAGTTTGCAGTGAAAACCGGGTATTAGAATACTACAATACTTGCATAAGACTAAAAATATCTTATGCGAATCTTGAACACGAGTCGCAAGCAGGGGCGTATTTTAAAATCTGGCGCCCCGGTTTGATTCTTGCCGCCCCTAGTCATAAGGCCATAGTCGCTTGCAAATCGATTTCGATTCTTCGAATAGTGTCATTCGCAAAAGGGCCTAATTTTCTATACTGATATTAAAAAAGGAAAGATTTCATTGTTTGTTTACATTGAATAGGCTCCGAAACTACTGGCCCATTTTGAAAAAATATTTTACATTTAGAAACATACATTATCACTGAAGAACATAGGCTATACAGTATTTAAAAAAAGTTAAGGTTCCGTATGAAAACTTCTAAAATGTAACCCAATCGGTGAAAAAATTACCTCATATCGCGTACGATTCGGAAGTCAATGACAATAGAACAAAGTAATGTACTAAAGTTTTATAGAGGACATCAATATCTACAAAACATTCGCGATACCATATATCCAACTATTACAGTTATGTCACACCCGCGTTAATTTAAGGAAAAAGGTTAATAGTGAGTCAAACTGAAAAGATAGGCAGATTATTATGCGGTCGCGGACCTTTTAAAGGAGAACAATTTAGTCATACATGACTTTTTTGTTACTTTAACCGTTTACCGTACGTAACCGAAGCTCACAAATGAAAAAGTTTTACCCGTTTTTGCAACATTTTTCATTGATGCTGCGCTCATATTTCTTATCTTTCCTCTTTATAATATTAGTACAGCTCTACAGCGAAGCGAATCGAGGGCGGGCCACTAGTATGGTATAAAGTTGTATTATTTTTTTGTCGTTGTTTCCCGAATTGAAAATGTAAAAATTTGCGTGATATGAATAAAAAAATGTGCTCAACAATGTGGAAAAACGTATTGTGTGGAAAACTAATTATAATAAAATTATGGACGACTGAACATAGTAAAGACTTCATTAACTAAGTTACTTTTGCATGCGTAATTCACTTGAACATCTCTTACAAATTGAACAATATTGACAAAATTACCGACTGTCTAATATTGGTAAAAAGGTATTAAAGGTAAGTAAAAAAAGGAATGTTTATAAATTTAATATAAACTGCATACACTTACCAGGTAGAGCGAATATGTATTTGGTTTTTCCTTCGAATTCACACGTGGCGAATGTAGTTGGCTTTCCAGGCTTCATATGCACTCGACCGAAGTGTAAAGTAGCACCAAAATCCTAGAAACGACGGATTATTTATTAATTTATTCTGCATGCACAAATGTACAATGGCGGAATTAATACCGTACGCATTTTCTACCTGTCAACCTTAGGATGTTGTGCGTTCTTTAGAAATAGATCTTAATGTGCTAACGAGCGATTTTAGTCAACGGAACTACGTTTATTCAAACGTTTTGACTTTGTTTATTTGATATTTTTAACAACAAAAAACGTGTTTAAAATTTGACAGCTGCATTATTCAAGACCCAAAGTCAAGCGTGTGCAGAGCCATCTATGTTGAGCTTTGGGTATACTTCTCCATTGGAATATCAATTACGTTCAGCAGCACCAGTTTGTAAAGATTCCTCTCTCCCATAGAAACGTCACCGAAAGCTACTAAATAATTATACAAATATAGAGCTTCCTTCGTTAAGATAAGACACTCATTGGAATATCACTTACCTTAAGCAGCATCGGATTGAGTAGATCCCTCTCGCCCGTAGACACGTCGGCATCGCGGGTACATAAGAGATACAATATTTATTCTCAAATATTGACCTTTCTACGTTAACATAAGACTCTAATTTCAATAACACTTACCTTTAGCAGCACCGGTTTGAGTAAATCCCTTTCGCCCATAGAAACGCCGCCGGTGCAGACGAGGAAGTCAGCGCGCTTAAATGCTTCAGAAATGGCCGCGACGAGATTCTCAGGCGAATCGCGTACGATACCACAATCTATGCTATCATATCCGTGTTCCCTAGGGATGAAAATAATATTAAAGATTATTGTCTTCCGAAGTATAAATACTTGTAATAGTATAAATAAGTATAAATACTTCGGACGGAACTTAATAATCAGGAGAATATACTAAACAAAAGCTTGTGCATTTTTAGTTATTAATGATATAAGTATTTTGTCCATCTTTATGGCCTGCGCAGACAGACGACTTTTCTCCGCAGAGGACGAAACTACCTCCATCGTGAAAAAATGTCCGACGACGACTTGTCACGGACTTAACACACACGAGGAGCGAACATTTGTTGTCCGAAATATTAGAAAAGCGCACGTTATGGAAGCAAATATTCTCAGATTACGTTGTTGTAATTAACATGAAGTTTTAAATAGAAGACGTTTTAAAAGAGAATACTGGGTCCATATATTTAAATCGGATCGAGCGCGCAACGCGGACTATAGTTCGCCGTGTGCGTTGCTGTGCCTAGTCACATGAGTTGTAGTTTTTTCGGGGACACCCCCGTTCTTTTGTCCTGTCCAGTCTCTCGGTGACCTCGGTTGTTCGGGGAGGCTTTTTGTACAGTGTCCTTTAAATCTGTCATGAGCGGTAATAGATGCAAATCTAGCAAACTATTTATTGGCGAACAAAAAAATTTCGCGGACAAAAGTCCCTCGTCTACGCAGGCCATTAAGGTCAAAATCCCTTGCGCTTTTTTTTGGTCTATGACTTCTAATATCTTTCATCGCGTATAGATTTATGAATGGATTAAAAAATACAATATTGTTGCTTATTCTAGTTAGAAAATATTGATTCATTTACCTCAATAGTGTCTTGAGCATGGTCCTATTAGAGTCCCTTATATGTGCAGGTTTCAATTTCAATTCAGATGGTTCCTGCAGCTCATTTCCAGTCGACATTAGCGCTACCTAATGTTAACATATGAATGTTTCTATTACGTTCCTTTAGTTACAATTTTTTTTCTCATCAATATTCCTAAGCACTAAACTCGATTAATAAAGTAAATTATTATAATCATTGCGTATCTCTTTTCATTCCTATGGATAGGATAAGGTAATTTATGACATTTGAACAGGAGCAAAACTACTTTGATAAATAAATAATTCCAATTCGTAAAATATTTCAAGCATAATTTCGATAATGCTAAGTGCGGTTGGCGGGAATTATTTAAAAGCAAGTTTTAGGTACCATTATTTTTCTTGAAAAAAATATGTAATTAAGAAACTATCACACTTTTTACTACAGATAATCCTAAATTACGCCAACACTTCTTATGAAATATTGTAGCTATACCACAGCGTTTATCCTACTGAGGCCCAAGCACGAACTTTGACAGCTCCGTTATCGTATCACATCGTTAGTTTCTGTGAAAACTAAGCAGTGCCCCTAACGGACGTAACAACAGACTGGCTCCTTCGATACGATTACGGATCTGTCAAAGTTTGTGCCTGGGCCTCTGGACATAGCTAGTAAGGGAATCCCCGTAGCATGTTTCGGAATTCGTCAATAGACCGAAGGCAGGCGTCGTTTACTGCGTGAATAAGACTTTATATAGTGCGATTCAAATAAGAATAGGAAAGCCAATGACCTCCATCTGACAAATGTCGCTTGAAAAGTACGGTTTGCAAAAAAACTTGGGACCCTTTTTTAGCACTTGACTAATTCTAGAATAAAAACCAAACATTTGTAAACATACAATAACAAATATTGATAATTAATATTGGTTGATATTTTTTTTCATTTATTGAGCTTTCGCTATGAATGGTTGATAATCTAAATCGTCAACTAAATGGCACTTTGAATTGACAGCTATTACGTCACAATATGGAGCCCAGTCGGTCCTATTCTTAGTTGAATCGCATTATACAACTGTGTTACCTTTGGATACGCGCGCACTGTGACATTCTGGTAACCTGCTCCTGCCACCATGCCAATTTGTGCCGCATCTAATACGTCGCCTGTCCATAACAAATAATAATATTGTAAATCTGCTAAGTTTTCATACAGAAACTGCTGAAGTCATTTTAACCAAGTATGGTATTGCAAAGTGGAACTTAATTTTAATCAATCTGCAATGAAAAATGCAGCTTTATAATAAATTATAAATATTAGTGAATTAATATATCTACTTTTGATTTAATACGTAACAACAAGAGTAAAGTATAAGAAATATTACCGGTACACAAAAAATTGGTGCAATTTTTTTAAAACGCGATGAAACTGAATCTCTTAAAATCTATAACAAAAAGTCCTTCCTCTGCTGGGATTCGAACCCGAGCCGCCAGAGTAACAAAGGATATTTTTCCACTGAACCAACGATGCTTGTTGAAACAGTCTGATTTTTTTAATTAAAAATGAAAAATAAAAGGCGACTTGTTAAAGATGAACGAAATTTTTTTTAGCAATGCAATAGAAGTTGCACTTTAAATAAAATTGTTTTAATACCTTTATCTACCAACACAGTGCCCATAGGTATATCGAATCCAATCGGTCGGACGTCCTGCTGTGGTTTAGGTGCCACCAAAATGTCCACCTCAATCTCTACCTGCCCATTTTCAGATGCAGTCACCAACTTGGTATCTTCCACCTAAAAAGATGAAAATTTTTGAAACTAATAAAGCGAAAATCGAGAAAACTATATTTTATACGATTTAAGGCTCATGATTAACAGCCCCACTAAGACGAAGTAATAAGAACTATATTGGCAGGCAATTTCACTACTTTATACACACGATCTATCTAACTGACACTATACTTTGGATTTGTTATCATTATCACGCCATCGCTAATAATAGACAATTTTGGAAACCTGCGTCACGCACGTGAAAGGGGGCTGTCAGGGTCTAACGTCGTTACTGAGATTACTCCGGCCAATATTTTTTTGTTATTAGTTAATGTGCGCGCAATTATCGGGCAGCAGCGGCGACGTGGGCGCTTATACACTAGTTCCTATATAACCTGACACTATACTCTCTCCCAATACTTTTTTTTTATAGATAGGTCCGACAAATGTCTCCACCCCACCTGATGTTAAGTGAAGGTGAAGTCCAGACGCGAAGATAGCTGATACAGCAGTTCTACCTGCCACACCAGCCATCCTCACCCTGCCGGCCTGCACGCCTCCTTTAAAAGGATTCCAGGTTGTAAGAGGGAGGGAACACGTGAGCGGGCAGACATTCCATTTACGGATAGTGCGACAAAGAAATGAATCACCAAATTTCTTGGTACGCGATGGAATTGTGGCCACAGTAAGACGGTGACAACGTAGGCCAGCGCGCGTGGTCCTCTGAAGGAAAGGGGAAGGTGGGATATGAGAGAATAACTCGCCTCAGAACACTCGCCGTGGTACAGACGATAGAACGCGCTTAGTGACGCCACGTCACGGCGTAATTGAAGAGGCTCAAGGTGTTTAATCACCTCCTCATCGCCTATTATGCGGATCGCGCGCCGCTGTAACCTATCCAAAGCATCGAGCAAGTACTTGGCGGAGCCATCCCAGAGGTGCGAGCAATATTCCACGTAGGACCACACTTGCGTTTTGTACAACAAGCACAGTTGATCGGGCGTGAAAAAACGCCGCACCTTGTTCAGGACTCCGAGTTTGCGTGAAGCTATTTTGATCACGGTTTCAATGTAGTCCTTTGGATTCAGGTCTGAGCGAACTTCCATACCGAGCATGGAAATGTTGCTCTGTAGCGGTAGTGTTGTGCCCTGAAGAGAGGGAAGAGGAAGGAATGGCGATGTTTCTGCCGTGAAAGCGCAAGCCTGAGTTTTCTTGGCATTGAACTCAACCAAGTTCCTGGTACCCCATTCGGAAATGTGGTCCAAAGCCTGATTGAGTTCATTGACAAGATTCTCCAGTTTCTCCTTGGTTACCGCCAGCCCAGCCGCTGCTTGTCCGAGATACCCCGCATGCACGCTAGAAGATCAGATCACCCGTCGATCGTTTTGGTCTAAAACCATATTGACGATCATTAATCAGGGAGTGATCCTCTAGGTAGCGGGTCAGATGGTTATTAAGGACCTTTTCTGGAATTTTACATAAAACTGAGGTGACTGCTATTGGCCGGTAGTTTGCCGGGTCTGAGCGGTCCCCTTTTTTGGGCACCGGTTGCACGTTAGCATCTCTCCAAGTCTCCTGCACACGCCCCAAAGAATACGAGCATTGGTACAAGCGCGTGAGCACGGGAGACAACTCCGCTGTACATTTTTTAAGTACTACCGCTGGGATGCCATCAGGTCCACCAGCTTTCCGAACGTCGAGTGATTGCAATTCGGCACGAACCTCACGCTGCCTGATTTTAATTTCAGACATAGTTGTGCCACAGTGAGGTAATGATGGTGGCAGTGCATTGCAATCATCGATTCGGGAGTTAGCCGCAAAGAGTTTTGCCAGTAAATCGGCTTTCTCCTGCGGCTTATGAGCTAGTGTTCCGTCTAGGCATCTCAGAGGTGGCAGCGAGGGCTGGCAGAAGTTTTTTTGCACGGCCTTGGCCAAACGCTAGTAGCTACGGGAGCCCGCAGGATGCGTTATAAGTTACTGGCCAACACGTGCAACGCGCTGGGCATCCGCTCTGATGTAAGCCTTCTTACAGTCCTTGGAAGCAGAATTGTAGGCTGCTTTGAGTGAATCGACCCCGGGATCCTTGAGAGCGCGGCCTCTGATCCAAGCACGATATGCCGCTTGCTTACGCGAAGCAGCTTCAGCACAGTCGTGATTGAACCAGAGGTTACGCGTGCCCTTACTGATGAGATCAGAATGAGGAATATAGTATTCCATACCCATTATAATCTCCTCTGTAATGGTAACGACACTGCCCGATAGGTCCCTGTCACTGAAGCAGCGCTGCTTCCAAGGGACGGACGCAAAGTAGTCACGCATACCGTCCCAATCTGCCGACCCATAATGCCAGATACGGCGCTTGACCACTGCTGGACGCGGAGGTTTGGCCTGTGGTGCTTTGGCAGATATCAGGCAGTGGTCTGACGAGCCCAGGGGGGGCTCTTACCACAATCCGATAGCCCTGTGGATGGGTCGTGAGAAGGTCCAGTAAAGAAGGCGCTTGACTTGGAATATCTGGGATCCTGGTGGGCTGATCAACCAGTTGCTTCAAGTCATGCGTGAGACGAATATGTGAGCAGAGATCCCTGCATGGTCAGTTTTGGAAGAACTTAACCACAAATTGTGGTGAGCATTAAAGTCCCCCAAAAACACCAATTCTGCATTGGGAAATTGTTCCTGCGCGTCATCTGCTGCCCGACTTAGGTGCTCAAAAAGTCAAGGTATCTCAACATCGCCGGTGTGGGATCTGTAGAGGCACACGTAGGCCAGGGGGCCAGAGTCGACGTGTACCCCCAGCATGGAGGAGGGATCTTCCAAGCAGCGGAGACGGCGAAAACAAACATCCGGCCGAACATACAGGCATACACCGGCTTTCGCTTTGAAGGACTCTTCAAGCACGTAGCCGGGATAATTAAGGTAGCCTGTGTCAGCAGGCAGTCCGGGTAAATAAGGGAGGTTTGTTTTACCGATTGACTGCCTGCAGAGGAGATGCGCCGACCCACCGGACGGAAGGGCCCCCGCACCCCCCCGGAAGTGGCCGCCGGGACCCCACGCCCCGGTCACCAACCGGCACGACAGTCCACCCCGAGATTATGAGTGACATGATGGGGCAGCCTCGCGAACTGGTTAGGAACGCTTGGGCCCCTGTACTGTGCCACGGGCGGCCAGCGGGACAGCCGTTTCTACGGGTCTCCCTGGCCGACGGGTCGATGCAGTCCTCCCGGCATCGGTTCCACGGATGCCTCCCCTGAACCGAATCCTTCGCGACAACTTCCACTCGAGCTCTGGTTGTACGCTGGCTGACCCCGAAACGCGCGAGAAGCACTTCACGAGTTTTTCACCATGCGCGCGGTGGTAACAAACCAGGCGGGTGTTAGGCACCCTACCACCAGAAGAGCGGATGGAAGCTCCGACATCCCTTAGTCGCTTCTTACGACACCCACGGAAAGAAAAGGGGCGGTGAGTTGTATTCTTTCTCCGTCACCGCACGGATTAAGTTTAATATCTCAGGTTACAAGAAGATTAATAAATAACCGGCACGGATTAAGTTTAATATCTCAGGTTACAAGAAGATTAACTAATAACGAACGGACGTGTATTCGGTGTCTCAATTTGTTTTAAAAATATTTATTAGGGAATATTACAATAAATGGTCACAAAATGTTCGGGCTGCGAGGCCCCAATATACGACGTTTTGTATATGGAGTGTACGCAGCAATTATGTAAAAAGCTATACCATCTGAAGTGCCTCGCTCTTATTGTGGAAAATTTTGAAAATTTTAATCAGGATTATAAAGATACGTGGATCTGCCCGGAGTGTGTACGTACTATTCCGAAAAAGGACAACACAACTGTTGGTAATTCCTACTGGACGCACTAAATTGTTGAGTGAGGCTCCACTGACGCGGGCATTGCGCACAATCAACAGAATTAATGAAAAGACGGACTTATTCGTTTGTGCTCTGAGCGAATTCACAAAACAAACTGAGTGGATCATCAGTTTCAATTAATTATTTATTTTTCCAATGTGTTATATTATGTGTGTTTAGGTGTTATATTTATAATGTATTTCTTAAATGGATGTATCTATTGCCTGGGGTAAATACCTGTAATGATAGATATAAGTATTTGATATAAACAAATAAATAATATCTTCATGTAACCTGTACGACGCAACAGGGCTCAAGGCGCCGCTCATGTGGCCCAAGGCGCCGCTATCACTGTTGATGCGCACGCACGTTCTGGAGAAGTGGGCGCATCACCCGCCGTCAAGCCGATGCTTATACACGCGTATCTGTAGATAATGGCATTAACTATACCCTCTCCCAATGTCTTTGTGTTACGTATACGACGCAATCAGCGACCGCTGGCTAGGCAGCGCCAGTGTTGATGCGCGCGCACTATCCAGGCAGCAGCGGCACATCGCCTGCCCTCGGGACAATGCTTATACATGCATACCTGTATACCCTGTCACTATCCTCTCTCCCAATATCTTCAAGTTACCTGCACGACGCAATCAGCGCCCGCTGGCAATGCAGCAGCAATGCTTATACATGCATACCTGTATACCCTGTCACTATGCTCTCTCCCAATATCTTCAAGTTACCTGCACGACGCAATCAGCGCCCGCTGACAATGCATCAGCCAGCGTTGATGCACGCGCACTCTTCGGGCAGCAGCGGCGATGTGGGAGCCTCGCCTACCATCAGGTCGATCCTTAGACACGCGTACCTATATACCCTGGCAGTACTCTCTCCCAATGTCTTTGTGTTACCTGTACGACGCAATCAGCACCCGCGGGCAAAGCGGCGCCAGTGTTGATGCGCGCGCACTCTCCATGCAGCAGCGGCGACGTGGGCGCATCGCCTGCCGTCAGGGCAGTGCGTACTCGGCGTACGCCCGCACCGTCGCTGCTTATACAAGCGTAACCTGATAGCAATCGACACTGCTGTAGTGCGACTCAAACTTTCAAGGCGGCTGTTGATGTTCGCAGCGACCGCAACTACGCGCGAATTATGACAGCCACATAATCGTATCGTCGTCGTCAAATTTTGTATGGAAAAAGCCAGTTTTTTCTTACGTCTGGTAGGCGCCACTACCGAGTTTTTATAGAAACTTTAACGATGCGATAATATTACGGAGCTGTCAAAATTCCTGCTTGGGCCCCTCCCTGGCTTTACTTCAGTGTTATCCCACGCGCACATACATTATCCTACATTTCGTTTACTGCGGCGCGAATTGTGCCTATCTTCACAGCCGTCATTAAGTTAGAAACGCACCTTAAGCTATACCTACTTTTATTATTTTTAACCATAATAAATATTCGACAATATGGGCAACGAGCCCTCGTTGTATGACGACCATTATCATCAGCCTATAAATGTCCTCACTGCTGTGTGGCACAGGAGTTTGCTACAGAACAAATAGGAAGAACAGGTTATGATCCACCACACTGACCTGGTTTGGTGTGTTCTAACAACTGCTGATGCAAACAAGACCAACGACTTAAGTTGCCACAAAATTTTTGGTCACCCATCCTAGGACCGGCCATTGCAAAAGTTATATAAGATCCTTGCAAATATTTTTCTAAGTATATTAAAGGTATTAGTTTATTTTATTCTTTCCTGATAATTTAAGACTTAAAGAAGCACATTTTCAATACAACATTTAATTCAGCTGATATTCCAAACAGTAAAATTATACAACTGATAAAATGAAATTATTAGTTTGATAATAAACAACTGGGCCAAAAAAATATTTAGAAACTAGTACGGAGATATTATGAAAGTACAACTTAATGTTAGTTTCACTTGAATACACTGAAATATGTAGTGGAACTAATTGGCCCTGATACAAAGGAAATGCCAAAACGAGTTACATTCGTGAATTTACATTATGGTCAACCGCAAAGCTACTTCAGTTTTTATTTTTATTGAATATATTTATATAATTATTTATATATTTTATTCCTATTATTTAAACCATAAAGTAAATAATAATTTACTTAGCTGTAAAGTATTATATTATACACAAGTAATCTTACCATCTTTTATAGAAGCATCAAATGGGGGCATAGGCTCCATCGCACTTAGTGGTTGCGCTACAACTCTGCCTATAGCATCTTCCAGTGATACTATCTCAAAATGCTCAGACCATTCTGCCATCACGCTATCAACTATTTTCCATGCTTGAGACATTTCCAGCATTGGATATGGAGATACTCTCGGCCTAAATGCTACTTTGGTCACATCAACATTACTGCTGTGTGGACACACATGACCAATTTGCATTGAATCATGAATTGTTCTTACTTCATTGAGATCATTTTGTAGTAATGCCATAGCGTGTGACAGAATTGGTTGGACTACTTCAAAACATTCTAAAACAGCTTTCTTGCTTCCAGGAAAATTTATTATTAGGGTTTTATCTCTTATGCCAGCTACGGAACGGGATAGCATTGCCATCGGAGTTTTCTTGAGGCTCTCAATTGTCATAGCTATTGTTATTGCTGGCACTTCTTTTTGGATAACAGCCTTTGTAGCCTCGGGTGTGACATCTCTATAAGCAAGCCCTGTCCCTCCAGTTGTTAATACTAAATCCACATTAGAATCACAGTAATATTTTAACTCTCTTTCCATAAGTTCTCTTTCATCTGGGATTATGAGGGTATGTATGTTGGCCTCAGGGTACAGCTTCTGAGCAAGTTCAGCAAGAGCCTGTCCTGATGCATCTTTGGAGTGGTCTTTGAAACAAGTATCACTAGCAGTAATTATTGCTACTGCTTTTACCATATTGACAACAGTTTTAGCTAAAAATAACTAGATTTTAAAGACGCCACTAAAAAAAATACTAAGACTGTAATTTATAAAAATAGTTTAATTAACTATTTTTAAAAATTACTAATTCCAAGAATATCGATCTGTTTGCGCTTTCTTGATACATTAATAAAAATAATAATTTTTTTCTATCTACCTACCTCATTTTTTATTACATTATAAATTGTATAATCGGTTAACCAAATCTGTAATCATTTGATTAAAAATTAGAATTAAGTGTGATAAATATTAAATGGTCTAATTTTACCTGTTATGAAATTTATTACGAACTTTCAGCGACCGAAACACCTTGCGAAATACGATTGCCTTCCGGTGCGGTCTCACTTCACTAACAAAATACGGCTGTTCAACGCACGATATTTGCACTAAACTGATTAAATATTTTAATTCATTTCATTCGGCACTCATTGAGCACTTTAATTACGTCATCTAGATAAGCAAATTTAAATTTACAAAGGTACACTTTGCTGATAAGAACTAAAGTATAGATAGGTACCGGTCAACGTCAAGTTATTTTAAGTTTTGTCTTAAATGTCAAACAGACAGAACAGCTGATGAGCAAAATTATTTCACTTGGTAACACAACGCAAAGCCGCGTTCAGAACTTAGGCTCCAGGTGGAACAAGGACAATTTAACAGAAGTTCCGTACATTTTATGGCAAAATTGAAATGTCAAAGTAAAGAGTTGCACTCAGACCGTATGTTTTGAACGCAGTCTAATACTTGCTTCCTCGGCCGCTCTAATATTAGGGTGCGGCCAGAGTGCACTCAGATTCAGAGTCAGATTCAGATTCTGAAAACAAGCGCGAGAAATAAACAGTGTAGTCTAAGCAGGTTGCCTGCTTTTTCTCGCGCTTTGTTTTCTGAGTCTGAATCTGAATCTGAATCAGGAGTGCAATCTGGCCGTACCCTTCGACTACACTGTTTATTTCTCGCGCTTGTTTTCAGAATCTGAATCTGACTCTGAATCTGAGTGCACTCTGGCCGCACCCTTAGGCGCCAAAGAATGCTAAAGATTCAAACATTCGTGGCAGAGCAAACCCGCTTCGATTTATGATTTTACATTTGCGTTAAGAACTGGTTAAAGGCTAAAATAAATTGGATTCAATTTAAAATAATTAAGTATTTTAGTATCTTTTCAGGGGTCAATAGAAATCCATAATTTAGTTTATTCTTTTATTAAATTTTACATAGCATGAACAAATTATACCTAACCTTACTTCCAGATAAACATAATAAATTAGTTATTTCACAATATCAGCATGCTGCAAGAACTAACATTTTACAGGTAATAGTAACAATCTTTCACATGTATTTTAATAGTATAGTTACAATAAAAACAAAGTGATTTAACACTGGATAACAAATATTATTAAATGAGATTCTATCTACGTACTATGTATATAATAAATAGAATAATATACAATCATTTTAATAATAAAATCACATTACTTACATATTGTGAAATTCCTTTATTACATGATTGTACTTTGAATAAAAATTTTTGCGTATACTAAGAACAGAACTAATGGTAAACTTAATAAATAATCCACAAAAAATATTCAATACTGATTTGCGCAATTCATCTACGAATTTGTTAAATTCACTATAAACCATCAACTCAAACTTCATTCATTCGCTCTTGCTCCAATCTCACCACCAAACAAGACTGACTGAATTACATCCAATAATCAAAGCGAACAAGATTCAAATTTTTTATTCTGTCATAATTATTTCGAAAAAAGCTCAGTCTTCTCAACAGTTATTATAAAAATGTTTTTTATTACATAACTATCGTTTTATATTTTGCGATTAACTCAGTAATATCACTGGTATTCAGCTTAACAGTAACACATGCCTCTATTAAACGCTGTATAGTCGCATAGCGGGTGAGAACGCGTGAGTTTCCGACGACAATCAATTTGTGTTTCGCGCGAGTGACGCTCACTGCTAAACGCCTGTGATCGTTCAGCACTTCACCATCCTGTGAAATAAGTTATTTCCTTATTTATCGCCGTTGTGGCTCATGCCTACGAGACGGTTCTTCGCCGGAGCTAAGCCCGACGGTAGAGATCGTCTAATCTTAAACTGACTGACCCTCCATTGTCTTATTTTTAAATTCACAATCAATGTACAGATGCATCACAGTCAAATTAGTATAGTCATTAGTCAGTCAGTTCGTGCTAGGGTACAGTTCTTTTAGATTGGACGATCACTACCTTAAACCGTGGCTAGCGCCGGTATCGTGTTATTCGCTGCATAGTGTTTCATACAAGACTGACAACCAGATGTGGTTTGACGTCGAGCTTAGCTCCAGCGAAAAACCGGGTCTACGTCCAGCATGAGTCCTTACGATGGGTGTCCATTACGGCCCGCGCTGCGTTAAGCAGGAGCACGGAGCGGACGACCGCTCCGCGTGCAGTTTTTATATCATTTCATAGAACTTTACTGCGTGAAAGACCCACCTCACACAGGGCTGATCTATTAAATAACATGAAACAAACACGTGGAGCAAACACCCGCTCCGTGCTCCCGCTTATCGCAGCGCAACAGTAGGTTTTTCTGAAAGTCAAGGTTTTGACTGATGGAAAACCTGACGTTTAATGGGACTCCTGATGACTTTGTCGCGGGGTCGCCAACCGTTTTTTATCATTCATGAATACAGCTGCATGAGCGTCTAATGGACGCCTTAGAAAAAATCTTATATTGATAACGAATGTCACATTATTTTACGCTATAGGATTGGCCGAGTGCAACATAAATTGGCGAGATGAGCCGCGAAATTTTTTGACATATCGCGTGCAATTACTGTGGGGTCTATATTAAAATTTCCTAGCCTTGTCTTCAACATCTTCAACAATATTTATTGTTTACAAGATTATTATAGCAACAGTTTTTTTAACCTACTGGACAGAAAAACAGAAATGATTCTGTTTACCAAAAGAGAAACAACAAGGGAACGCCTCAGATTTCAATTTGCATTTTCTACTTTTATGCAATCCATACTTCTTCAATATACCTTGATTTTCCTATCGTCCTGTGCACATTTCCTAGTGCACGAATAAATGATGACCTCCTTATCCCTGCCTTGGAATTGGTCCACAGTGCTGGCTTCCACGCCACCGCTGCCTGTAAGAGATCGCTTCAACAAAGCCACTTGGTCCCGGTATGGAGCCACTACGCCTATATCCGTATGTTTCACACCACCCTGAAAAATGCTAATGCTGATTTTTTTTTGTCAAAAGAGTGGTAAGGAACCATATGACCCGCCCCTCTGAAGGTAAGCGGCCAATATAGTCTATAGACGCTTGAGATACCAATAATATTACTCGCGCCGTTGCCTACCCTAACCCCGTGGAGCCCTGGAACCTTACTCACTGATTAAAACACAACACCACCACCAAAAGATAATGTTATTTAACTTTGGTTTTCTGTAAGGTTACTTCCCCAGGACGCTCTAATTCGAGCAGAAAACAACGGGACGACTTCAAGAGAAGCTGATTGTGTAACTTTAACTTTTTTTTTTGGAACTCCGTGATAGGTCGGTATGTACTCTATTTTCAAGGTGTTGCCTCAAAGGTCCTGGCTTCAACCAAGCCAAAAAAACCCGGTAAGGCGCAACTACTTCTATATCCGTATTATCCGTACGTTTCCAACCACCCTGCAACATGTTGAGGTTAGGTGTATCTTAAAGAGAAGCGAGGATGCAAATCGTCCCAATAAGGAAATGCTATAATAATAAGGTACATAATAGGATACATGACAGTTAAAAATAAAGCGCTATTACAAAAATAGGGAAGATGCATATATAATATTTATGAAAATTTTATGATTAAAATGTTAAAAAAATATAAAAGAAATGCCACTGCAACGTTTTTATTTTACATAATGTTGTTTTTTAACAATTATTACGAATTAAAAATACTTGAAACGGAACGTATTTTAAAACACCAATCAGCGTTTAGTGACGTCACTCCTGTTATGACAACTTCTTTGCGGTTATGGTTTTTAAAGTAAATATTATTTTATGGGAATATTTATTGCGTTTTTTTACATTTAATAAAAATGGAAGTTGTGTTTATCAAAGCAGACTCCAGGAATTTACCAAGAGTTAGCGTTGACATGATTATAACTTTTTTTGTCCAAAGTGCAGAGTTTTTAAGTGTAGAAATGAAATGGACTAAATTACTACGGTATGTAAAAATCGTAGTTGTTAAACTTCCTATTTTATTCAGCGGCTTCTACAAATCTTACGGCGATAATGCAATCGGCTATGTCCAAATTAAAAGGGATGGAGAATTATGTACAGTAAAAGGTCGAGTTCTCCGGAGCATAAAGTACGTAAAGAAGGTTATCGTGTTACAGTTATTTTAAATGAAACGCAAAGCTTGGTTCACTCCTGCCAATGTGAAGATTGTGCCACACATTTTAAACTTTATCTAATTTTCGACGTCATTCTCCAACCGTAAAATTAAAAATATGTTATAGACAGGTTTTGTAAGTATTAGGTAGGTTACTAATGCGTTTTTACGTACAAGCAGATTAATTAAGCATATAACAAGTTTATTCGCCGACTTACGTCAAAGTGATCTTCTCAGCATCGAATAATGATCTTTGGAGAATAATTGTCATTTCTCTTCGCAGCTTGAAACCACTTTTTTTTCAGTTTTGGGTTAGAAGTTCCAGTCAAAAACATATTATTTGGGAACTTTGTTGAAGTAGATTGACACAAAACATGAGTCAACACGGCTTTTTTTCGGAATATTAGTGGTATTGTTATGATCACATGATGTTGATGGATAGTCCATTTTAAATTTTTCAAAAAAATATTTTGAAATTCGAAAAAATATGCAGAAGTATGAAAATTTAAAGCCAGCAACGAACAAGTACGACCAGTGACAGACAGGAATGACGTCATCGCCAACATAGGTTCGTTTTCGCGCGAAAATTTAAATTGTCAATTTAAAACCGCAGTTTTTCCGATAAATCACAATGTTTTAATTTTTTAATATATCTGTGGTTTATTCTACATGGAATTCTTTAAAATGAAAACAAAAATAAAAATATTGCATCTTCCCTATTGTTAGCATCTGTATTTAGAATGAATATTGGCAGGAGTTTCTACTATTTTTACAGAAAAAAATATTCATAATTTGACTACAACCGACGAAACTTATAATAGATTTTTTGTCTATTGTTACACGAGACCGAAAACGCCTGGAATTGGTAAAGACTAAAATGACGTCAAACGCTAGTAAACTTCCGGTCCGGTAAGTGATATTACATTGTATTGTTTGACGTGTTAATGATAGTCGTGTGATGTCACATACCAATGAGACATCATAATGTCCAGAGAAACATTTTCGAAGCAACTTGAAAATTGATATTTTTATTTGGTTTTTTTACTAAAAATGAACAACAGAATGATGAAAATCTTCATAAACATTAGTTTGTGAAGATTTTCATCATTCTGTTGTTGTTTTCTAAATCCTGTCAAATACCCTATTGCCGTGCCTCGTCAAGGAGTCTCAAATGGCGACATTCTGTCTCAAATGGCTTCTAAAATAAGTTTCATGAAATTTCTTGGTCATTTTATATGTGATTAATAATACATGAAAATTCTAAAACGAGATAAAACAAAATGTAATTAACGTAACTAGTCTCTGTGTTAAGATTTTCATATTCAAATTCAATATCGTTAATTCAGTTCACGAACGGATTGCAATGAACTTTGGTATAGAGTTTAAGTTGTGCCTAACAATTTAAGGCGACAATCGCTTGCGTTCGTCCTCGAAATTTAAATATAATTCTGGCATAATTCTCTAAACTTAAAACTAAATTTAAGATCAGTCCCTCCTATTCATTCTGTAAAGAGAATGACGAAAACAAACTATTGACCATTTTAATTTGCCAAAATCTACACTAGTTTCCATCCAAAACAGAACGCGTTCTAACGAAAGTCATCCTTATTGGAAAATCACATACCTGTACTAGCGCGTTAACTAGTGCGTGAACCAAACAAGCCTCCGTAATGTTAGTGCAGGTATTTGTGACGTCATCACTTGTCATTTCCGCCGCGAGATCCAAGAAAACGGCCGCTTGTTCAAAGTCCGGACTACACGCTGTTGACAGCCATTGCATAGTTTCATTGAGTTTGGGTATTTTCTGTCAACAAGAAAATCTTATTTATAAAATTCTCGTGTCAAGGTGTGCATTATTGAACTACAGTAATTAATTAAAAATATAGCAGTTTAAGTCTTAAAATAAATAGTCAAATTGAAAAATTATTATCATCATTATTACGTTCAAATTTATATCGAGTCTGGAATCGGCGACTTTATCGCCGGCACACTGCAGTTGTCCATTATACGCCACTTTGTTGGCCACATTGGTGAGAGGGCGGTTCATTCTGTACTGCAGTTGTAGAGTGGAGGTCGCTTCGTCTATCATCAAACGGTGGAACAAACTCTCCTCCATGCCTAGACGCCTGTGTAAAAAATGTAGTGTGATTTCCATGTCATATTTTTAGAGATCTTTGTGTTCTGCGAGTCTCTCAAAAACTCAAAAAAAACAAGGTAAGTAACTACAATCCCGCGAAATAATAAATTATAATGTTTGTGACGTTAAAAGTTTGAAACAGTATTAAAATGAATATAGAGGGTGTAAAAAATCCTTCAACGAAGTCGAAAGCCACGTATTTTCCACATCAAGACGATCATTTTTTTTCTTCTGGACCATACCTGGGAAATTTAAGGTTATGGAGATAATGAAGGTCAGTCACTATTTTTATTTTCAAGATTTTTACATTAATATTTTCAAAATGTAATTTAGAAACTTTTTTCTCGACGTACTTACACACACGCACACATACACACAGGCACATTCTTTGCGTAGCACCACAGTAGCGCACCACCCACAGTACTGGTTTTTTTTTTGTATTTTTTTAACTTAAAAATACAAATGATTCCCACGTATAATATTTTGTAATATTACTTGTTTGGGTGTACATAATGTGTAGTTTTAGTGTTTGTCATAGGATTTTTTACACCCTGTATAATAATTTCCATATCGAGTCTATATTACAGGCACAGTTGTAGAGTGGGGGTCGCTTCGTATATCATCAAGCGGTGGAACAAACTCACCTCCATGTCTTGACGCCTGTGTAACAAGTGTAGTGTCATTTCCGCGTCATATTTCTAGAGAAGTTATAGTAATATAGTTAAGCAACATCACAAAATAGAAAGTAGCCAGAAGGATGACATTGCCGCCATTGATTTTGACAATAGGTGTCGCTAGTAAAGCTAGTTAAAACATCATATTTTTATACTGTGAAAGCTGATATATGTCAATAAAAGGAGTGAATGACGAGTTGACGACTAATCCCAACAAATTACATATTGCCCAACCGCAAATAAATTGGGAACAAGGAAGCCAATGATGATAACCCAATACTGTAAACTCACACCAAAGAAACGAACCTAAAATGGCTACGTAATTTCAAACAAGATGTGCGAGAGGGATGTGAAAGAGGGAGAGATATCTTGCGTCGCCATTCTCGATCCGTTTCTTTATTAGCGCAAGTTCTATGAAGGGTCCTTTAAAGGTCCAATACTGTGTGTTTAACGCACGAATATAAATAAATGATAAATTGTCTTTGAAATGTGCCGTGATTGATATCAGTTTAAACTCAGCGGAATTAAGTCTGCTGTGTACTACTTTACTGTCGAAATGTTTTTTAAAAATTCTTAATTAAAATAACACTTATTGTATTATACTCCATGATACAGCAATCAAAAAGTGAGTGGATGTTGTATCGGTAGCGACATGATTTCATGTAATGGTTTAACGTAAATGTTGCTATGAGTTTCTTGCGCCTATTTTTCTCATCAGCTAAAAGATGTCTATTCTGGAAATGGGTGGAGGAGGAAAAAATATTCGACGATTCAAAAGTCAATTTGAATAAAGTAAAATTTCATTTCATTTCAAGTTTGAAGACAAGTTACCTAGCTGCTCTACTCCTGACCACGGGCGGCAGTTGTTCGGGATCACCTACTAGCACAAACCGTTTGGCCGCAAACAAAGGTCGAAGAACAGTGCATTGCAAAACCTGCGGGCAAAATACAACCAAAAAGTTAAGACATTGTTCCTGATATATATGTCGTGGCCATATCGTAGATTTAATCACTTCATGAAATGCTCGAGAATTTCGAAATGGTCGCATTTCATGAAATGTTTCACTATCTATTGGCCACATCATGATGTGGTTTGGGCAGATCAATGATGAGAAATCGTTTCACGATATGGCCAACTAAACGCGTGGCTACTTCATGAAATGGCAAACACTATTTGATCATATTGTAAACTAGTTACATTAATTACAGGTAGAGGCGCTGCAAGCGCTTTGTTTTTATATTTATATGGCGGCCGCTGCCGACAATGTTGTTACTCGCAGTGAAAAAGTGCATAATTCGTTATTTAATGAGGAAGAAAGTTAACAAATTAAGGAGAGTATGGTGACTACGCAAAAGAAATCTATGGACTATTACTGGCTGTCAAAATATGACATTTTGGAAACTGCGGTTGAGGTACAAAGTGCGGATGAGAATCAATGCTGTACAAAGATATACTGTAAAACTGTACTTCCAGGGCCCAAGAGGTGATACTTGAAGTTCTTTTGTAGGAAAGGTCTCTTTTTTTTTCTGTCACTTTTTTCTTTCTTCTAAATATAAATGTGTAAGTTCTTGACATGTTTGATGTTCAATTTAGGAAAAAATATCTTTAATTTGTTTATATTGTTACAAAAAATTTATTAAATTTGTTTCTGTTATTCGGACTTAAATAACAATAAACAAGTTCTTACATATTCTGGATTTTTAATAAATATTTTATAGGCACCCTAATTATACGATCCGGCCAAATGTGGATGACCAAATCGTTAAATGTTGACGATTTAATGATCTGGTCAAATTAAGTTGGCCACATCATGAAATGTGACCATTTCATGAAATTCTCGAGCATTTCATGAAGTGAGCATATCTACGATATGGCCACGACATATACATATAACAAAATGGTAAGAAAGTCAAAACTGTACATTGAATATTTTTTTTAAATAATACTTAGGGTGTGATCTACAATCGATACCGAAGCCAAAAATATAGTTTTTAGAATTTTGGTCTGATTGTGTGGATTTACTTCAAATTTTGCACGAATATTATTAAGAAGTCGGGTCAACATATAGGCTACATATTATCAAGCTATCACCTACGGGGAACGAGCAGTAAACCTTTATTACTAACCAGCTCCACGCGTACGAAGTCGCGAGCGGCCGCTAGTTACTTACATCCGATGAGGAGGGGGGGCGTCGAGGGGGGGGGGGTGTAACAGTATGAATTATATATATATACATGAAGTTTTGCACTTGTAGTGCTCTAAACTCAGTTAAGTTTGGAATTACATAGCGAAAAAATTCATTCCAGTTTGTGTAGTGAAAAAATGTTTGGTCACGCACAAGTCCAGTGAGTGTAGCATTTGGTTGCTTTATTTTTAAGTTTAGTTTGACGCACTTCATTCCTGTAGAAAGTATTTTAATACTTAGAATAGCTCAAGAATTCATGATTTTGTAAACAGAGCAGCCTTTTCCCAAACAATAAGGACATTAATAGAATATTAAGATATTGTTACAAGTGTAACTCACCTGGGTGGATTCATCGACTATGCACACGTCGAATGTAGTTCTGCCTAGCATGCCATGATTAGCACCAAGACAGGTCACTCCTACGACTTCCTGGAGAAAAATATTAATTAACTTTTAATTGACTAACTTCACATCTGGGCCCACTTGCACCAAAGTTCTTAAATCTCCAAAAAACAAATATGGTTAAGGGTATTTCTTATTTGACTTTAAACAATAGGCTATTTGACAGTCTGAAATATAAAGTACCAATTATTGGCATGTGTATTTAATATGAATATTGAGAGCGATTTCACTATTCTGACAAAAAGTAAAAAATGAAATAGAAAAGTATTTCTTGATCTATTGACACATGACCGATAACGCCTAGGATTGGCGGAGCCCAAAATGACCTCACTTGCTTGTAAACATGCTCAAGAAGTAACATTGCTTTGTACTGTTTGGCGTTTTAATGAGTTGTGTGACGTCACCTGCCTGTAAGTCGCCATATTTGCTAGAGAAATGTTTCCGCGGCGTATTTGAAAACAGAAGTTTTATTCTCGTTTTTTACTAATATACGCAATAGAATTATAAATATTTTATGGTGTCACTATACACAAAAACTTGTCCTATTGAGTAATTAAGAATATGATTATAAATGACAAAAATGGAATGATGTGTTAAATAGGGTCAAGCCATAATTTTATTTAAGAATGATGGCGCGAGTGGCCCCTTATCTTTAGAGTATTTAATTACCATAGAGTCATAGAGTTGTTCCAATTCCTTTGTCGTATTACAATCGGCCGCTAGCTTTTGCTCACATCGGTTAACTAAACATGCTGCTACTCTCGACTGCGCACCCAGACGCATTATACGTATAGAATCAGGCAATCTGGAAAAAATGTAACACGAATATTTTGTTAATTATACCTATCCTTGATGCAGGAACTGCTGGATAGCTAATACAATAGTTTTTTTGTAAATTGAACAGCTGTCTGTCCTTTGCATTCCCTATAAATAATACTAAAGAAATATTGCGACCATGATAACTGTCAAATGTACAAATAGCAATTACGAATAACCATTTGAGTTACGAGAACCGCGATATGATATATATAGCTCGTTTTCATCATGCTCCATTGTCAAATAAATTACTATGATTTTGACAATTAGACGCGATAAAAAACGTGATGTATATTGTGGTGCTCATGCTACGGGTACAGAACTCCTGTTTTAATGATAAGTGAGGTATCATCAGGGAGTCCCTTCCTGCTTCTCTGAAGAACTATTATTATATTTATAAAATGCAATTTGAAGGAGCTTGATTTGTAATGATTTAGGTTGAGCTGCAGTCGTAAACGCCTACTAATATTCACTGGGTCCGCGTGGTGGATATGCCCCTTTCTGCATATTCCATCCATAGAGAAGGCCTGTACCCAGTAGTAGAGACATTGATAAGCAAACGACGATGATGGTCATGATTAACTTAAGAAATATGAACCTTAAGCATATGAAAATAGGATATACTACCTAGTGAGCACAGTATCCACGGCGGAATGAGTGTGAGCAGTGACCAGTACGCGTTGTTTCAACCCAACCAGCATTTGTATTAACACGCTGATGGTCTGCGTTTTACCTAATAATATAGCATAATAAATTTTGTTGAATAATCATAATTATCTGGGAGGACTAGAAAAATATGGAAAGAGCCAGGTGACAATCATGAGGGCTTAGGGGTAGGGGATATTTTTCTACCACATCAGGAGCCCAAGCACAAATCTTTGGCAACTACCTAACGTATCGCCATCGTCATATTTTGTATGGAAAAAGCTAGTTTGATCTTAAGCCCTATAGGGGCACTGCTTAGTTTTCATAGAAACTTTGTCGATGCGATACGTTACGGAGCTGTCAAAAGTTCGTGCTTGGGCCTCTGTTACATTAAGAACAAAATGATTATCAAGTTGAAATGGAGTTTTTTTTTACGCCTCGTATAAAATACGTAAACTTTACAACAATTATGACTTAAACAATATTTCAGAATACCAAATGATTTTATGGTTATTTTAACAACGCAATAACGATACGATGGCATTACGCGACCCGCGAACTACGCATGCAAAATGAGGAAGCAACTGTAAATACGTGGCGAATCGAAGAATCTTTAATTGTATCGTCATGAACAATCTAGAAACAGATTTATTTAGAACAGGGGTGCTCAAACGGTCTATATATGCAACGGTACACCCTACCTAGGTAGGTAGGTAGGTGGGGTCTATCGTGTATGTACGACAACCCTGCATCACACATACTAGTCGATCGTAAGTAGTGTAAAAATTTTGAGGTACATCGCCAGCAGTTCAAGTTTGGGCAGCCCTGATCTAAAACGTTGCGGCCGTCGTTCGACAAACTAGAAGGATGCGGTAAACACAAAATTAACCTTAGCAGTGCGGCGTAAGGTTAAAGGTGCAATGACAGCTGCCAAGTTGTTCACAAATCGTGCTTGCTACCTGCGCGTAGGTACTAGTCGGTACTTGGGAGCTGTCTATTGAACTTGATGTAGCTAGAATGTCTCAGGACGCTCGGCTCCGCGCAGGAACAGTTAAGTTTCAACGCGATTTCGGTACGGTTACGAAAGCGATTACAGTCCATGTTAGGTGTTTGCACAATAGTATAAGGACACGTAGGAGGAAGGAGGAGGTGTATAAAGTACAGTGAGTGTAGTGTAATTAATAATGCCTTTTTATAGAACTGTGTGAATTACCGCATCATCTATCTTCGCAACTTGACTCCATTTACACTTAACATCGGGTGGAGTGTGGTTATTTGTTGCGCCTCGTATAAACAAAACTACGTGGTGAATAAAGAACGGTCAAGTGTGAACTCTCATTATATTTCGAACTTTGCTATTTCGAACCCCAGTCCATTAACTCACCGGTGCCTGGAAGCCCCTAATAGCGTGTAATGTTTGGCAGCTAACGCGCGCAATACCGCCCTCTGTTGTTGTACGTTCAGAGAACGTATCAACTTAGTCGCTATAAGTTCCACTTTGCGGGTATATGCGGTGGACAAACTGATTAAAATACTAAACGAACTAAACTCACCGGTGCCTGGAAGTCCTTACAACAGCGCGTGATGTTTGGCAGCTAACGCGCGCAGTACAACCCTCTGTTGTTTTATGTTAAGAGAACGTATCAACTTCGTCGTTATAAGACCCACTTTACGAAGTGGACAAACGGACTGAAATACTAAACTAACTAAACTCACCGGTGCCTGGAAGTCCCTGCAACAGCGCGTGATGTTTGGAAGCTAACGCGCGCAGTACAGCCCTCTGTTGTTTTATGTTAGGAGAACGTATCAACTTCGTCGTTATAAGACCCACTTTACGGGTATATGCGGTGGACAAACGGACTGAAATACTAAACTAATTAAACTCACCGGTGCCTGGAAGTCCCTTCAACAGCGCGTAATGTTTGGCAGCTAACGCGCGCAATACCGCCCTCTGCTGTTGTATGTTCAGGGAACGCATCAACTTGGTCCCTATACGACCCACTTCGCGGGGCAATTTCTTCTCGAATTTCGGTGTCTCTTTATCAATAATCAACCTAAGACAAAACTCGATAAAGTGTAACTTGCGCCAGCAATTTTAAAAGTTCATATATTATAATCTGTTCATATAGTATATTTGACGATCTCCGTGGTTGTATTTGTGGTATGCACACTGGCTTTCAAAATGTCGCCTACTAAGCAAGGGCGTACCCAGGATTTCAGCTAAGAGGGGGCAGCTCATACCTGTTTCGAGAAGATGGTCGGTCGGGTATATTGAAACAAAAAATCATGAAAATTGACTTTAATTAATTAGTTTGATTATGACACAAAACAAAATATTAAATATATATAATAATCATAATACACATATATTAATTTAAAAGTAATCTTCTCGGATTTGCCGCCGAAAATTTGTCTAAGACAGTCTTTTGAATAAACTCACTGTTATCTTTTAAATAATTGCGATGTACGCTCATCGGACATAAACCCGTAAGCCTTTCTTCACCCATGGTGCTTCTAAGCCACGTTTTAACTCTTCGAAGCGTACTGAAGGACCGCTCTACGGTCGCCGTGGTGCATGGGATAGTGCTTAAAATAATCAATGCCTTTCTGACAGCAGGGTAAAAAATATTGGCTTCGTTGAACAGATCAACTACTTCTATATCCCTTAATTGATCATCTGATAAAGCATTCTTCATCCATAAATTATGCCAAAGGTTCAGTTCTCCAGTGATATCCAGGTTATAAAATTCTTGGAATGATTCTGCGTTCTTGTGTAAGTCTGTAATGCTGGTTTTGGTCATATACAAGGGATGTAGCTTACTTAAAGCAAACGCCGGAGTATTTTCTTGGGAGAATCGAATATTCAACGATGAAATGAGTGAATCAATGTATGGTATTATCAGAGAACGCCGCCAATATTCGTTATCATTGTCAGATGGCGGATTACTTCTATGTTATTGCTTATGAGCAAGACGTGGAACCGAAATTTCTATGTTCAAATCCATTGCAACAGCTCGCGCTTTTTGAAGCATTTCATTACTTATTTTATCAGGAAACTCGCGGTCATTTCTGAGAATGTCCTTGATATTTTTGACGTGTTCCCCCACCGAGATCATGTTGATCGATTTAGCTTGCAGTGCGTTAACTACTGGTTCTAAAACTGCTGAATATTTGGCTATTGTTTGTAGAGCAACAATAAACACTGGTTTTGTAACGGCTGAATGCAACTGATATGCAGATTTTCTGGTGGCATAATTTCCCTCTACGAATAACGTTTCTAGAGATTTCACAAGCTCTGGAAATGTTGAGAAAACTTTCTGATTGATTTATATTTTTCGGACCATCTCGTCTCACACAATCGTGATAGGTTTGGAGCGTAGTTTCGACGAGTAGTCGATTCTCTGAAAAACGTTATAACATCCTTAACGCAGTGCCAGAAATTAGAAATACTGTCGCCACTGACAGTATTTCTAATTTCTGGCACTGCGTTCGCATCATTCACAACAAGGTTGAGTTTGTGACTTGAGCAATGAAAATATAAAGCACGAGGATTTTTTTTTCTCAAAATGGCTTGTACGCCACCCTCTTTCCCTGCCATTGTAGAACAGCCATAAAATCCAAACCCTACGCAATCTTCTGTTGGGAGGTTAGAACTAATCAAGAAATTGTCAATTGCTTCGGCAATTGCTGAAGCAATTGACAATTTCAAATGTGCTTTTAGTTCAACGAATCCTACAAATTCTTCTCTGATTTTCCTTTTGCTTTCGTTGTAGAGCCGCACGCCTATTGAAAGCTGTTCTTTCCCAGCTACGTCTGCTGTTTTATCAGCTAAGACTGCGTAAGCCATGGTCTTCTGAACCTCACTTATTATATTCTCCTTAATAACTTCGCCACACAAATTAATCAATTCGTTTTGTATTTTTGGCGATGTGTAAACTGCATTGCGACGGCACTTTTCCAGGTGACTCTTTAATTTGTCGTCCCCTGAATTGATTCTCAACTTTAATAAATCTAATAAAACGCCCTCATCTGCTTGTTTTCCCCTAAGAGGCATATCATGTGTACCGCAAAATACTACACAAGAAATAATTGATGACAATATTTGTCTGTTTTCATCGATTGCTTTTTGGTGTCCACTTTGCAGTTGGATGTCTACAGGAACATTTTCAAGAAAAATTTTTGCAGCATTTGTCGCTGTTAGGTGAAGGTTGGTCGTTGCATGCTTTCGGCAGTCTTCATGCATATTTTTGAACTTTATATATGGCCTGGCCATAAATGATCCCAAAATTCCTCTCACAGTGCTGATGGGCGGAGGGAACAAAACACAGTGCTTCGTACTTATCCAAACTAGATAGCGCTAGACGTTGTTTTCTCCAAATTATATTCGGCTTTAATCCTAGATGGCTCTGATTATCTGGTCGGGAGCGGAAACTACGAGATACGACGGTTTCGCGGGAGATATAAATATCTGACTGAAAAGATGTTTTGTTTCCAACACTTCATTTTGCGCAGAGTAGGTAACACGTTTTTAATTCCCACTTGCCAGGAAAATTGACGTTTATTTTATCTTCTAGGGGGGGGGGGGGGGCAACGGCCGCCCCCCCGCCTGCCCCTACCTGGGTACGCCCATGCTACTTAGAGGTCCCGGGTTCGAATCCCGGTGGCGCAAATGTCTGTGTGATGAATATGAGCATTTGAACCCAATGCTCGCTCGCTTCGCTTTGCTATTCATGTTTGTTATTTGTAAACTTATTATCAGTCTGTCCTGTTCATTCCTTATAAAGCATGATAAGGACAGACTGTTGTCAAGTTTACAAATAGAAAATATGAATAGCCAAGTGAATTGCCGGCATAAATTATGGATGTTAATGTACTTATTTCTTATTAAAACATATAATTGTATGTTAAGGTAATAGTATCACACTAATATTATAAAGGCGAAAGTTTGTGAGTGTGTATGTTTGTTACTTCTTCACGTCTAAACGGCTGGAGCGATTTTAATAAAATCTGGTATGGAGTAAGCTGACACCCTGGATTAACACATAGGCTACGTTTTACTGCGGGAAAATATTCCTAACAAACCACGGGTAACACCGCGGGGCACAACTAGTATTATATAATTCCATCCATTACCCTAGTATTCCATAACACAAGCCTTACAGTGCATACTTTTCGGCTAGGCTAGTTGGTGTGTGTGTTAGAAATATTTATTTGTTACTAGCAGTTGCCCGCGATTTCGTCCACGTTTTTTTTAGATTTTTGAGAATCCCACAGGAACCTAATTTTTTTCCGGAATAAAAGCTATCCCATGTCTTAATCCAGATCTTAAACTATATGCGTAGCAAATTTCATCCAAATACATTCAGTAGTTTTTGCGTGATTGAGTAACAAACATATAAACTTTGACATTTATAATTCTTTTTTTATGTTTTTAGGCATGTGACTGCTTGATGTTTAAATCTAAAGAAAATATAACTAGAAAAAATTATAACATTATATAGTAGGATTTTATTATTTACTTGCGGGCGCCCACGACATCATCCGCGTTAACTTTAGTAATAACTAAAGTTCTAGGATTCTCAATAGAGAATCCCTCAGAACCTTACATTTTTTTGGGATAAAAAGTATCCTATGTCTTTATCCAGGTCATATAATATATGCGTACCAAAGGAGATTGGTCAAATTGGCCTAAATGCAAATAAAATATTGACATATACAGTAATTCTTGGCGTAATTTATACTATATTTTAGTCATTAGATTTTAACGGCCACCTTTAAATAATATATTAATTTTAAAAAAGGACTTCTATTTTTACCGGTTTCGAAAACATACGAATCATTTTTATTGGCTATGGGTGTAGTAACATTCACAAAGACTGATCGAGGTTGTTTATATAACATCAAAACAAATCTATTTTGTAAAGATTGATAAAATATATATTTTTTTTATTACACGGGTGGTATTAATATACACAACTTTATTCTCATTTTTACTACATGCAAATGTGCTAAGACAATTAATATAGATGGTAGGCGACATCATAAAGTCTATTGCCGTACATTTTTTGCCAAACACCTAAATAAACACATTATAAGGTGTGATACACTAAAAATCTAAAATATGGTTATAATAAAAACATAACAAAAATAATGAAGCTGCTGAAGATATGGCTGTATAACCTACAGCTCTTAGCTTTCTTTGATTAACGAGAGTTTAAAAATTCTCTCTAATCTGTGGCTCATTCACAATCATCACACAGTTTCTGTTCGTGTTTTTAAAAACATGCACATATCTGTTTTTTTACATGCTCTATATACCTGAATCTAATACATAATATCGGTAGGTACTTGGCTTGATTGCCCTATTTTCCTATATAAGTTATTTGGTTTTTATTATTCTAATACCTATGTGCCTATTTGCAAACATAACCTCAAAATCATTCAGTGTATATAGTTTATAGAAGTTCTCAGGAGTGGCCGTCGATAATATTCGTTTCTACGGTAATTTATATATAATTTCGAATGTAGGAAACAATTTTTCATGGTTATTGGTTTTTAGGCCAAACATGTATGGAAGCTGAGCAATCTCCTTTCATCCAAATCCGTTTATTGCGTGCTTGAGTAACAAACATTCAAATTCACATTTATAATAAAAACTCACACAAGGGCACCTTCATGTGCCAAGCTTATGCAGTAATACTGCATAAACGTGTACACGCCCCTAAACGGCGCGATAGAAGCTATATATATTTTGTCACCCGACCGTGACGTCACACTAACGTGTCCAATCAAAACGCGGCTTACCCTCTACTTTCGCCGCAAGATTGGCGATTTCGTCTTCAAACTAAAATTGAGTATGCGGACTTTAAAAGAGGCGCTCTTTAAATATATTGTCTATATATAGATAATATGTCTTACCTTCGAAGTTCACATGATCTATCGGTGTCGTCCAGCAAAACTCCCAAGTTAGTTAAATTTTGTACAGTGCTCGCATAAGACTCATAGGAATCAATATGAAATGCTGTAGTTTTGTGAAATCGGCGGCTTAGATCCCTGTAAATGATTGTCAATTTCCTTTCTTATTCATGGTAAATGAAGGAAACACATATAAACATTGACGTATAAAACCAGAAGATTTTCGATCGCCTAACTAATCTGCATCAAAAAAAGGACGAGCGGCGCTATGTTATAAAAGTTTTGAGTTAAGTAACTCAAATTACTAACGATAATTTTTGTTACCTATTACATAAATAGTGACAACATAACTATAGTTACTTGTAGACAAACTCGGTTTCGTTAAGATAGTTTCGTTGTTATAACAAAACTATATAATAGGTTGGGGAAAAGGTATTTTTGCGTTATAGTATGTTTCTTGTACTTGTAATAAAATCTCTTTGGCTACACCATTTGAATATGACTGGTTTTGCATCATTAAAAAGTTTAAATTTTAAAGAAGATAATTCCAAATTTCAAATTAGAAAAATGTGTGGATTTCATTTGTTTTTATTACTGTCAAGTTGAGTGAAACTAATGAAGAAACTCGATACAATGAACGATAAAAGTGCAACGCAAGCCGCGAAAAAAAATTGTGATGTTTATGGAACTAGTGCTAGTGTTCAGAATTTATGGTTCCCTATTTTTTAGGATGCAAGGACTAGTCCTAGGGAAGTAAGAACTAGTACTTCTGCCTTATCTTCGGCGCTGCGGGAATAGCAGCCCCTCCGCCTTTGCGTGACAAAGTCACAAGCATCACTCCCCTTCACACCTTTAGCTTGTTGGGCTGCTCTCCCTCCGCGCCTCCGGACTCTAAAAAACACTCTAGGGGTAGGGCAGACCAAGACCACGGCGTGTCGGGATTAACCAAGTCGATTCTGAATTAAAGACTGTTGTAAAGCCACATTTACCTTTTTTTCTAAGTGTTGAGCCCATACTATTTTTTATTAATCAAGATCTCAAAACAAACACAAAATGGCGAGACATCTATCATTTTGACAATAATACCAACTTTTATATTTATTCATACTGTCCAAGTGATAAATTCAAGCTATCTCAAACATTGATTTATTACATGGGCCGTCCGGCATTATTAATAATGACTGGGCAATGTGATAAATAGGTGAGTTTAGATTGTAATTAATCACTTGGCACGATATGGCTGGGCATTATTCATACTGCCCTGCCATTATGAATACTGCCCGCATTAATCACTTGGCCCATAACATATAGAACAAAATAGTTGTAGTAAGGCCAACTCTATGTAAATCATTACCTCAAGTGTGTTTATTATAAAAATACATTGTTATGTTACAGATTACCGAAATCGAATTTGACAGCCTATAATAAAATGGTTTAGTTGTTTTTAAATAAACTCAATTAGCTGAAATGATAATGTAAAATGCAACAGAACAGTTGGTCTATGAGTGACTGAAATTTATTTATTGGTAAACAAAGTTTGGCTATTCATCGGTTAACTCAACTAGTTTTGTAAATTACTTTTTTTTCCTCAATGGGTTCGCACGGTTTGTGCATTTAACCAAAGTCAAGTGTTAAAAATGATTACAAATTTTATAGCACTGGTGGTCAAAGTATTATATCAAGTCAAAGTAAGTGGCAGTCAAGTCAATCCCCCTTTCCCTGTGTTTCAGTAAATGTGTGGGGATTTACTAGAACCTCCCCGTGGACTTCTTGAGGGAACGTCGAAAGACCCTTTCCGCTACTTTGTTTCACTTGCCAACACTTGTGCATGTTCCTGAACACTTAGTGGTTAATAATCCACCATTATTAGACACTAGCATCCGCCGCAACACAATTTATAACAAGAAAAACAAAACAACTAAAGTGACGCTTTCCGATCCCGCCAAAAAGAGACTGTAAATTACTTTTTTCAGTGTACAGATAACATTAATACATTTGTTCAATTGAACACGTTATGCCGTGGCAGTCAGGTTCAATGTCAATTCTATACGTGAAAAAAAAAATAGTTTGATTACAGTATGAGAAAGACATACACGAGTGAGATATTTTGTTGTTGTTAAAATGTAATTAATTAGCAATACGACAGAAAATGCCATGACAGTTGCGTTATTTTGTTACTTTAGGGGGCATCTACCTGAAATACGACACAATGTTTTTTTAAGCTTGACATTCACAAGTGCTTGAAACAGCCTAGACTGAATAAATGATTTATGATTTTAAGCGTGGGTGTGGTGTCATTTGCCCAGTTTTTAACTGAAAACTTTGTCATTGCGTGACGTTGTAACCAAAGCGTAGTCGACACACAACTGTTTGAGAATTACGCACATTTGACACGAGGCATAATTTTGATTCCGCCGCTTATTGAGCGCGATTGTAAATCTACTTGTTTTTATACGTGATGCACATAGATTATTTTCTTTACATCTTTTGTGCGCCTTCCGCCCGGTTTTCATTAGATTTATAAACCATGCAGATAAATGCTTGAAATAAAAATGTAATAAAAGGAATAATATATTTATATCGTTTTAATGATATTACCTTTCCAGCACCATATGTATTTCATTGTCGTTAGAACATTGGATAACGCCCGCAGCAACCCACGGCCTTCCGTCCACACTCACCAAACAAAAGTTACCTTCTTGAGGACCACAGAATCTGTTTTCAACTTCGCCAGGAAATCCTATGGAAAAGTTTTTTTAAATACACTTCGGATATTCCGCTAAAATAGTATCAATAGTCCAGTCACTTAAGGGTTTCACCTCGGAATTTGAGATAATAAGCTGGAATCTCGTGTACAGCTTCACTTTGGCGTTCTAAAAGATGTCTCAGATTGACCCCTTTTTTCCCTAAAATGACTGGACTACAAAGGCTCGTTAGTGCCCTTAAAGAACTAAAAAATTATTACTGCATTTAAAAATATCATATAGAATGCACATACTGAACACAAACCTCCTCATTAATAAACAAGGAATAAACTTAGACTAGTTACGCTGTATTTTGTTTATATTACTCTAATGCCATTTTTAATTCAACGAACAGGGACAAAACATGGAGTAACTAAACCGAGCTTATTCTTTGTTTTTATTAATAAGGAGGAAATAGTATAAATGACTAGAGTAATAGGACTATATAAAAAATTAGTTTCTGCTGTAAATACAGATACAGTACTAATATGCACGTAATAAACTGTTTTAGATAATTGAATAAAATTTATAAACCCAATTATAGTTATAGTAGATTACAGCGACATACCTCCATTCTGTGTCGTTTTACTAAAAATGTGCATAAATTTAACGCCAGTCCCTTCGACAGATTTCAACTGAAGATTTCCCGCACATGTGCCTCTTTTTTCTCTGAAATGGAAATATTATTCTTAGATCTCTATACGCATTTTGATAATACCTCTTTCTTTTGCATCACCCTCGTTGCAATCGAACCGTTATGCCGACAATAGTAAATTATAATTAATTGTTGATATTTTTAACTTGCACAACCATATAAATATTGTTATTACACAAATGACTACTTATTGCCATTACAAACCTAATTATTATCGGGCACAATGAACAACATCTTAGGCCAACTGGGGGGCCTACCACCTGCCGGTATTACTATGGCTATCGCTTATGACTTCATTTCCGACTGCCGAAGGTTTTCAAATGCCCCACGCTCATTTTTTTTAATATTGTTATCAACAATGCAAAAGAAATATAAGAGCGCGAGGCATTTATTTACTTATTCAGTAAAATAACATTATATCTGCCAAACTGCAACGCAGTTTGTCGGCTGAGTTCTTGTAAAAACATTATCATATTTATAATCATCATACTTTAATATAAGCATGTTAACTGTATATCATAACTCCTATGACAGAGAAACAAAAATAATAAGAAAAAAAGAGAATGCAATCAGCCATTTTTTTTCTCGTCTTAATTTTCATCGCTCCTTCCTACGAGCCGAACTGACTTTGGTAGGTACTATATTTATCATACTATAACAACCAACCACCTCTGTAGCGCAATGCAAATGAATGAAAATTTTTGAAAACCTTCGGCAGTCGGAAATAGCAGAATGAAATCATAAGCCATAGCAATCCCGATAAGATATATAAGTGTAGTTTATTCTATATAATTTATCTATTGTGAAATTAATCTTTAGTGCCTTACCAGCTATGAGCGAATGAAGGCCTGGGGGCCAATCGCCTAACTGGATTGCTTTGGAAAACGCTATCGCTTACGATTTCATTTTGTTATTTCTAACCGCCGAAATACCTCACGCTCATTTTCTTTAACATTGTTATTACCAATGCAAAAGAAAAAAAAAGAGCGCGAGGCATTTGAAAACCTCAGGGGGCCAGAAATAACAAAATGAAATCGTAAGCGATAGCGTTTTCCAAAGCAATTCAGTTAGGCGATTGGCCCCCTGGACCATTTCTTTTTTATTACTTATTATTAGCATTTATAATAAAAGATAATAATTACCTTTTTTGAACACTATCTGTCCACAAAGAGTGTAAAGGTAAATTGGCAGACTGTCCCTTCTCTTCGAGTTTGAGTAGCGTCGTCCAACGTAAGAAGTAATTGATATGTTCAGGGGTCAAATGACCTAAGGCCGACTCTCGCAAACTTGATAAGGGATGGGTTTCTGGAACTGTAGGGCCTTCTGTGTGCCTGCATGAAAATACAATGTTATAAATATTAAAAAATATATTTTGACAGATAATTTGTGAAAGATATTAAAATAAGTTTTACTAAAGGGGCGTTTATGCACGAAGTAACATTTTTTTTTTGGTGGTTTTATGAACACGTACAGAAAGACAATGTTTAGTCACATGAGGCGTCTAAAAATGCGCAAAGGCATGTTTAACAAATATATTTTACTAAATAATTTTTGAAACGCACTAAGGTTTACCAAAGGCTCCTTATTAGCAAATAAAAATCAAGTGTACATAACTGAAGTGTAAACGCTATATTGTGAGACAGAATTGTTTTCTGCTGTAAATACAGATACAGTACTAATATGCACGTAATAAACTGTTTTAGATAATTGAATAAAATTTTTTTTTTTACATAACTGAAGTGTAAACGCTATATTGTGAGACAGAATTGTTTCACAGCAGTAGGAGGCATACAAAATATTGGCCCTAGAAAGCTGCCCTAATCTAGCGATTTGTTTAAATTTTCAGCAAAGTTTGTCCTATCTTAATATGTTAAATTCACTGTTGACATTTTATTATGAAGATGTGACTTCATTACTTTAAACACGCCATTTTGAATTCAATGTAGGTATTAAGACTCAAGTTGTGAAAGTAGTGTGTATTGAACAACGCAATGCAAAAACTCACCATAAATGCAACGAGCATATAGTGAGATAAGGGCACTTGGAACAGATATTTTCTCTGTGTATTGGCTCTGGTAGCTTCTGTTGCAGAAGAGATGAAGCCTCTTCAATGTCCACTAATTGTTCTGTTGTAATATAACATTAATAATAATAAATATACAATGTGTATCAGAAATAACTAAGACCCTAAAAGTAGTTTGTTATAATTATACAAATGAATCAAAGTCGGTAATCTTTATATAACCAGTGATATCTCAATGTTAGTAAAATTATTTCATGTACCGTTGTATTTAAAAATAACCCTACTACTTTGCACATAATGTAATATAATAATAATAATTATAATAATAATATTGATTCAGCAATTGTTGTACCGATAATCATATCTGCCCATGGTTTGATAGCCAAGAGCCTCGATAAACACCTTAAGAGGCTCGCGTTAGGTGGTTGGGTCAAGAGTCAGATGCAGAAGGCAGTACTTCTGGACACGGCCCGTATTGTGAGGAGGTTCCTGTCTCTGGATCCTTAACCACCGGTAGCAGGGACCCTGATCTTGCTGCCGATGGGGAACTACATTTTTGTATTTTTAAATGTTATTTTTTTTAATGTTATACGCTGTAAAAAACTAATATTTAGAAATATGATTTTGTATGTATATTTAATGAAATAAAGGAATTATAATAATAATTTTATCATAATGTTATGTTTCATGATGATTAAATTTATGTAATTTTCATAACTATCAGGGTGTGCGTTATTACTGTAACACGTTGTGTAAACACCACCGAGACTACCCAGTACCAAATTAAGATAAAGTTAAAAAAAACAGCCATTCACGGAACGAACTAGTACAAGATTTTCTGTCCTTGGCCGAAGTAACAATAGGGCTGTATTGTAGTTATTCTGACCAATAATAGCTCTTTCTTGTGTAACGCAGTTTTACATCCTTATCTTTTATAAGCGACAAAGTGATAAAGAGGCGCTCCACTAATTCGTTTCTGTGCACAGAGCATTCCTTACCGGTAGTTTTCCGACTCGGAGCCAAATTTTGAACAAGATGACTACTTATGTGAAAAAGACAGCGCTCCACTTAAGCGTTTCTGTGAACAGAGCATTCCTTACCAGTATCTTTCCAATTAGGAGCCAAATTTTGAACAAGTTGATTTCGCAGCATTATCAAATCTCGTCTCTCTGGATACCCACATGATATTTCCTTCAGCTCAACGCGATCCCTGAGGCAAAAAGTAATCGTATTGATACGCTCTCTCTTAAGTATGAAAGTTATCTACAATGTCATACTTCTACTAAGTATTATATGCCACGCGAACACTTAGAATACATCGCGACCTCACTGGTGAGTGACCGATTTTAATAGAACCACCCCTCAAGAGAGGGGGAGATTTGAACTCCACCTAAGCTGATGGCTCGATTTCAACGAAATGTTCGAGTATATATCTGGTAAGTTAAGCTTCACAACTGGACCCACAGGTGGCGCGGTTCGGGTTCTGGATGTTTAAGGTTATCGCAATTTTTTATATTCAAATCACGTAGGACAACGTCCATATCCAACGATATTCTATGAAAACGTTTTTTATATACTTACTTCAAATATAAAAGCAGGCCCCGTTGTTCAGATCGCGTTGGGTCTTCCTTACGTAGAGCTGCAAGCATCATACCATATAGGACCAACTGTCCGCGATGCTCCGCAGACATCGAAGCTTTGCCACTTTTCAACTCTAACGGGACTATGTGTTGATTGTCACCTAACAGAAAAGACATTTCATAAACTTGGATATTTTTTTTTGAGAGTTTCATACTCAGAGAAGAGAGTGTCATCATCAGCTTATTAATGTTCCCACCGCTGGGGCACATGCCTTCCCTATGGATGGAATAGGGAGATTTGGCCGTGACACGGGCGCAGTACGGATTGATGGGTGCTAACGACTGCAGATGCAGTCGGGACCAACGGCTTAAAGTGCCTTCCGAAGCAGGGATAATTATTGGTCATCCATCCAATGACCGATCGCTCGCGCTGCGAAAGTTGCTTACCTTCAACGATCGCAGCCGAACGCGCTAACCACCTGCGCCATCAAGCTCTTCCAAGAGAGTGACAACGGAACCCAATCACTTAGGATCTCCTGTCTGTCAACGGTCTGTATATCTCGAAAATTGTGTTTGGTAGTCAATTGAAACTTTAAATGATAGTCAATTGAACCATTGCGTCATTGAGCTCCTCGCTCAATGACGCAATGATTCTAGCGCGTTACTCTGCGATTGTGGAAATTTTAATGTAACATACACAATGTCACAGGATAGGGGAACAGAAATTGAAATTTGCTTCGGAAAGCACGTTGAGCCGTTGATCCCGGCTGCTGCAGTCGTTGGCACCCACCAATCTGCACTTTAATCGCATGGTGGGTCATAGCCTGTTTTCCCTATCCCATCTTTGAGTATAGGGAAGGCTTGTAAGACATCAGGCTTAATTTATGAATGCCACTGTAAGTTGACTAATATTTGTATCAACAATAGACTGACTCTACAATGGATTAAAGAACACAGCGACTCCAGGGGTAATGATGCGGCGGAATGCTTAGCTAGGGAAGGGTCCAGCAGGACGGCCATTCGCTCGGAGCCAATTGTACCCATACCCTATCGACAGCTGGGAACCTGGATAAAGGAGCGCTGTCAACGATAACACGACGAATACTGGGCAAAATTCACTGACTGCAGGCAAGCTAGGGAAGCCGTTCCTAAGGTAAACCTGCAGCTAACACGTAAGTTAATCAGACTACCTAGACAAGCCCTAAAACAATTCGTGGGTATACTCACGGGTCACGGCTACTTCAACAAACATCTGACAGCCCTCTGTGCAGAGCCTGCCTGGAGGAGGGGGAGACGAGCGCCCAAGTTCTGCAAGAGTGCAGAGGCGTTGCAAATGCAAGACAAAGGACTTCTCTAATGGGAAGTCCACGGACGTTAGTAAAGGTCTGCAGCAACATCCGAGGAATGCTGAGCTTTCTGGAGGAGCTGGGATGGCAGGACTGATGCCAATCCCTTCGCAAAATTGGCACTGGGTGTCAGAGTTGCGGAAACAGCCCGCCGTACTACTAAGACTAAAAAGGGAAGACCTGTAACCTAGCAGTGAAGACATTAATAGATGATTATATTACGATACTCAAACCAAATAGCAGTTATGATTATAAGGCAGATCCACAACTCTTGTCCTTGTGAGACCTAGAGACTTAGTATGACGTCACATATTTTGCAATTTTACATCTAGAAATTAAGACCGCACTAAGATACCCCAAGAATAAGTTAGTACGTCACTTTTAAAGTTAAATTCAAAGTACGTCTCTGGATTCGGATTTAAAATGAAGATATTGGAATCTGACATCACGAAACTCTGCCCACTCGCTGTCAAACAATATCAAATTTAATTTACCCCTTCCCCTGCTCTAAACGTGTCACTTGCTTCTTCTCGAGCTAAGCATATTGTAATTATATTGGTGCTTTGATTTTCACATTTTTTCTGACTAGCTCAGCATCTTTGATTATATACACGCCTAGATACCGTATAAACTGCACGGAAGCGCTCCAAAAAATATCTACTAGATATGGTAGATACGCTCGACGCTACACACGCACAGATTGCGTGTAACATGAGCCCTTTTCTTTACGTCGTTAATTTGGAATGCTTTATCTAGGCGTGTATATAAGCAAAACTCAACACGAAATAAAAACATGGATTCACACTCCATGTGGCAATGGCTTAAGCAAACGAAAAGCCTAATCTACGCATGGCAAAGAGTTTTCGGCTAGCTTTGTATGGACTTCTAGTGGATCAGCCAAATTGAGTTAATGCTGACCTAGACACAATATTTGAATAATTATCATAATAATTTCACATTACCTTTAGCAGCATGGATTGTTACTTCCAATGTAGCATCAATTTTTCCTTTCAGGCCAAGTTCTGGTGTGTATAAGTTCTCTTCTATGTCCAACACTTTATTTATTTCACCATTCCATTTGTCTTTTGGGGCTCCTGGGCCTCGCTACAAACATACCAACCAATTAAAAATGAGTAAAATTGTAAAACGTATACATTTTAATTTTCATGAACAATTCGCAATTCGAATTCAATAAACTTTTTTGTGGCCAGCATTCTAAAAGAAAAGTTTTTACTGTGTGACAATACTTATAAAAAATCAAATTTCCCCTGCCAATGGATGGAATACAGTGCGGATTGGTGGGTGCTAACGACTCCAGATGTAGTCGGGACCATCGACTTAACGTGCCTTCCGCACAGGAGCTCGAGATAGTAAATCTTTGGTCACCCATCCAATGACCAACCACTGCGAAAGTTGCTTAACTTCAATGATCGCAACTGAACCTGCTAACCACTTGTACCATCGAGCTCCTAGAAAGGATGTATACAACAAACACAAACTAAAAGTTTACCTTCTGAGCTGTAGTTCCTACTTTTTTAGCAAAGTATGTGTTCATGAAATCACCAAGTGGTAGTACATAAACCTGCATATTTTTATGGACTTCTTCCTCAGTCAAGCCAGATTCGTACAGCAGCTGAATAGATTCTTTGATAATTCTCTCTGCTTCTTTTTGTATTTGTTGTGTATCAGTGATGTTTTCAGTTAGTACTTTTTGTACTAGTTCATGTATTAAAATACCAATAGTCATCTGGAATATTCAATAAGAAGATTCATGTATGGCCAAGGAAACTGATTATATAAGTACCCACATAATTTCAAAGCATCTTATTAATAATTTCACATGTCTAACAGTATCTATGTAAGCAAATTATATTAAATTATAAAGTGCAACAACTGAAAATAATAAAATACCTTTATCTTTCGATTTGAATCTTTTTAATGTAGAAATAAATTTGAATTCAACCATAAATAATAAGAATTAAAAGAAGCACATACAGCAGAATTCGCAGAATCAATGCCTCTCCAACGATCCTGTAATACAGCTTTTCTTTTACAAAACACTCCAGCCACAACACTAGTAGAGGATATCAAGTAATCGGGATGAAGAACTAACAGCCCTGATGAGTTACTAATACAGAAGTGTCCAGAGGAATCTCGAGATGCAATCACTCCAACTATGTCACCAGGAGACAGAGGAGTATCAATCCTGAAAATAAAAATTGCATTTATAATTTTTCTTTTGTCTTTGTCAATTGCTTTAAGCCAACTGAGATGTTTTGAGAAATTGGATAGGCAGAAGAACATCGGTGCAAGGCTTTATGCCTAAACTGAAAAATATAAATTGAGTTTAATGATGTATGCATACATTTTCCTTGCAATAGAATAAGGGAGTATATCATTTGTATTACTATTTAATTGACATCTCAGAGTGCTGTTAGAGTTTTGTCTCACTATAAAGTAAATGTCATTCAAAATTACATTTCGTCCAGACGGGATAGTGTTTCAAACCTGGAGTGACTGTATTTTTCTAGTAAATATTTTCTACAGACAGCAGGGTTCTGGCTGAAACCTGGACTGAGAGGAATTGTTTTCTAGTTAAAAAATTCTATGTATACAAGCTGTTTTCGAGAGTCCTCACGAATCGTCTCGCGCGCAGGTTTGACGACTTCCAGCCTCCCGAAGAAGCCGGATTCCGAAAAGGGTTTAGTACCATAGACCACATCCATACGCTGCGGCAGGTTATACAGAAGACCGAAGAGTATAACCTGCCATTATGCTTGGCGTTTGTGGACTACGAGAAAGCCTTCGATTCGATCGAGACATGGGCCGTGCTTCGGTCACTCCAAAGGTGCCAAATAGACTATCGATACATCGAAGTGTTGCAGTCGTTGTATGAAAACGCCACTATGTCAGTTCGACTCCAGGACCAAAACACGAAGCCAATCCAGCTGCAGCGTGGTGTAAGACAGGGTGACGTTATATCACCGAAACTGTTTACAGCTGCGCTGGAAGACGTTTTCAAACTTTTGGACTGGAGCGGACTTGGCATCAACATAAACGGCGAGTACATGACGCACCTTCGATTTGCAGATGATATCGTAGTCATGGCTGAGACCATGGATGACCTTGGCACAAGGCTCGGCGACCTCAGTAGGGTGTCCCAACAAGTGGGTCTCAAAATGAACATGGACAAGACGAAAATCATGTCGAATTCCCATGTCGTACCCACTCCAGTGACTGTTGGGAGCTCTACACTGGAAGTTGTTGACCAGTACGTATACCTGGGACAAATAGTCCAACTGGGTAAGTCCAACTTCCAGAAAGAGGTTAATCGACGGATCCAACTCGGCTGGGCAGCGTTCGGGAAGCTACGTAGCATCTTCTCGGAACATCTACCGCAGTGCCTCAAGACGAAAGTCTTCAATTCGTACGTGTTGCCAGTGATGACATACGGAACCGAGACGTGGCCGCTTACAATGGGTCTTATAAGAAGGCTCAAAGTCACCCAAAGGGCAATGGAGAGGGCTATGCTCGGAGTTTCTCTGCGTGATCGAATCAGAAATGAGGAGATACGCAAGAGAACTAAAGTCACCGACATAGCCTACAGAATTGCAAACCTTAAGTGGCAATGGGCAGGGCACATTGCTCGCAGGACCGATGGCCGTTGGGGCGGAAAGGTCCTCGAGTGGCGACCGCGTACCGGGAAACGCAGTGTTGGCAGACCCCCCACAAGGTGGACCGACGATCTGGTAAAGGTCGTGGTAAGCCGCTGGATGCGGGCAGCACGGGACCGATCGTTGTGGAAATCCAGGGGGAGGCCTATGTCCAACAGTGGACGTCTTTCGGCTGAAATGATGAAATGATGATGACAAAAACGTTTCAGACAGCAACATCCTGTCTGAAACGTTTTTGTGTTTAATGTAAAAGTACAAGTTCAAACTGAACCGCAGACCACAGCGGCGTGCAGCGACCGCAGACTACAGTTCCAGTGGTGTCGCCAATCGCAGAGAAGTCACACCAAACGTTAGATATTCCCTACCATGGTTCAATCGCACCGAAATCTGTCAATACTCGAATGAGCCAACTCCAATATTTATCCAATTCCCATTTTTTGCAAGAAATGTGTATTATAATACCGTCGTACCAGAAATACAAATAAAGCTAATGGTGTAACATTTTACTCATAAGCTTTTAGGCTTCATTTTTATTAAATTTATTTTCTTTAGTTGTCATAAATATTGAAATCTGTTGAAAAAAAAGTAGTGTTGGAAAATATTGCTAGACAAAAAGAGACAACACTATACTCTCAGTACTCGAAGGTATTGGAGTGACTGAGCCATGGTTATATGCATTGTGCAGCCGCGGCATGTTGCCGCGCTCGGAATAGAAGCTGCCGCGACCGTAGGTAGCATTGCGGTCAGCCGCACTGTCGCCTGCGGTTGTCGTCTGCAGCCCATTGCAGAATTGTACCTTTAGGAAAATTCCTTAAGTCTAGCCCGCAATGTGGGATTCTTTCCACCTCCTCCCGCCCATCGGCTTAGCCAATCCAAAGATTAGCTCAACGGCTGCTTCTTTCCACCCACTAAAAACCTGACGATACCCCTCAGCTGACTGATGGGCTGACACCGGCGCTAGATCCACCATTAGGCGGATCCTGTCTTAATCATGGGTCCAGTGGAATTATTATAGTATTTTTTTTCATTTATAAATCTAGCAATACAGTTATTAAAAATATATATAATAACCAACTTTTTATATTGTTCAGTCCCCGTAGCATGAGCACCACAATTTACAGTATATCACATTTTTATTGTGTCTGTCTAATTCCATAGCAATACATGATAAAAATGCGTCATATATCATGTTGTGGTGCTCATGCTAGTGCCGCAGGTGCAGCTAGGTATAATAAAGAGTATATATAGAAAATATATATAGAAAAAAAATAAGTTTTACCAAAAACCCTCAATCAAGCAGGTGCCTCTATTATCATCACCATTCTTTAACTTAATTTCTTTTCTTGAAGCATGCTGAATCACATTCAGTACTTCACATCTTTGCATAATGCCAAGATCTAAATCTTCAACTTGATCCTAAAAATAAAAGAATGCATTTAATACTTTTTTTCCAGATAACTATATGAAAATAAATAATTTACTTATGCAATAAACAAACCATCTCATTTAACTCCCATTCATCACCAAACATATCACCAATACCATTACTATCTTCATGATTTCTTATATCAACAGTGGCTCCTCTTTTAGATGGAGACAGTTCTTCTGCAGTTAATTTGTTCAAAGTTGTAAACTTTAATACTTTTTTTGGTGAATGTAAACTTTCTATAAACAAAAAATATTTGTAAATTCTTAAGGTAGTGGCACCAATGACCGATAGGAGCCAGTGTCAGTATTTTTTTTGTAAAAAGTGTAGTAAGGGACGTTGGTTAGTTCCTATTGATAATTGGTGCCACTACCGTAGATTTTTGAACACATAAAATACTATGAGTCCAAGTTACTGCAATTCTTAAACGATCAGCATAGGTCTATGTAATATAAGATCCTTGTGGAGTTAGCACATTGAGTACATAAGGTACCCAACATGAAGATCTTTAAAGGTTACAAGGGATGCAAATTATATTGTTTTATAGATTTAAGAATTTATGTTAAATAACACAAACTGAATAATTACCCTTAACTGGTGATATCTTTGGAGTCCTAAGATTGAATAACTCATTATTTTCATAATTAGTAATTTGACTGCGTAAGTGTTTTTTTTCTATCATAGAACTACTACCTTCCTCATGATTATTCTTGATTATTGGATTAGACTTTATTTTTAACTCATTTGAGTGTTCGATTCCCAAGAGTAAACTCAAAGGAGACCTTTTATTTATTATTTCTTGTTCAACTCCTTGCTTTGTTGGAGTCACTGATTTTAAGTTACCCTTTTCATTTTCTTTCTGTGGTGACTTCAATGAATGAGTAATTTTTATTTTTTTTGGACTTTCTCCATGTCCTTCATTTTTATGTTTGTTTACATTACAAGCTTTGCGTTTGTTGGACGACGTATTGCCTTCCTCTGTTGAAGATATCTTTTTATTTATTTGTTCACTACATTGATTTGATTGACCATCTTTTTTAAAAAAATGTGTAATAGGATTCTGATGCTTTTGTGAACCAGATTGTAGAGGCTAGAAATAAACATCATGTAATTGAATTATTTACAGTAAATTAATTTAAAGATGATTAATTAGAAACACTTTATTATGTATAACGTCGAACAAATATTAGATCAAAGATCAAACATAGTAATGTAATTTACCGATTTCGACAAAATCGCACGATTATGAGATATTAATAAGTTTCAATGAAATTACCAATTTAAAATATTAAGAATTTTGTTTATAACCTAAAACAACAAATACCTTTTTCAAACTTAATGCTTTCGGCATATTTTATTTGTATTAAACAAAATAGATTAAGTCCGACGTAGCCTATATTAAATAAAATCTTAATAGTTTAATCCTTGACAAAACAACTTTGTGAATAGGATGATATAAGGTTCAGAAAGAATAAAAACACTAAAGACGTAAAAAAACAAAGTGAATTTGGCGCGCTAAAGCGGTGACGTTTATTTAGTTTTTTATAAAATATTGTCCCTCTAGGGAGAAGCAAAGGACTATAAAGGAGACGGTTCAAAGTTGTTGGTTTCCGGCAACGATAAAGCATTAATCATTTAAAACCTCTTTTATATTATATCATTACTACTTTATTTTTTTTATTTATCCCTGATTAATTTTAAATCATGTTTAAACTTCTCTTCTATGCTCTTATTTTTTGTGTTTGGCAGCATAAAACGTCAATTCAATCAAGGCGTCTTCTTCAACTCGCGCGTCGCCGGCGCCGAAGGCGCTGCGGCGTGCGGGGAGTCTGTTCTGGGCATGATGCCTACCTCAGATGTAGCGGGTTCGAGTCCCGCTAACGAACGGGACTGTCCGTGTCAATCAGTCTGATCATACTTATTAAACGTGCTCCAGAGTACCTAAAATCTAGATTTCAATTTCTGGCCACTTCTAACCATCGTGATCTAGGCTCGTGCAGAAATAGTACTCTATAAATCCCCACTCATCATTCTGACTTGGATCCAAATCTTCCACAGTTACGTCTTACGTATACGCCTGTGGAATGCTCTACCACTTATGCGCTTATTCCACTTGACTAAATTCAGACGTTCTAAATCATGTAGGAACTAATTCAGTCAAGTGTGTTGAGGAAGTGGATCGTAGAAAGGAAAGACAATCAGCTCGTAATATTTAGTTTATGTAGTCCCAATCACATTACATTTTTATAGGTATACACCGTTGACGTATTTAGCAAAGTCCTAGAATGAAGTAACGGTGACATAGAGAACAGGCCATCGAGTCGCGCTAACAAGAAGGTTTTACATAAAATCATAACTTCAACACACCTCCTTGATTTTATAGAAAACAACAAAAACAACTTAATACCAATATAACAACTTAACATAATAAATAAATCACTTAACAAAAGACTATCTGTCATTAACATTTCATTTGACATTTGCCAGTTCTCTAAGTTTTATAAATTTATTTTTTCCTAATGCCTTGGTCAATATATCCGCTAATTGTTTTTCTGTATGAACCTTTACTATATTAATAATACCCTTTTTCTCATAGTCATATACGAAGTGGTAGCTTATGTCAATATGCTTAGAATTTTTACAAAACTTTCCGTTCTTTGACAACGCAATAGCCCCGCTGTTGTCTTCGTAAATTTTTACTGGATCCCTAATCTCAACGCCTAAATCGCATAACACACCTATTAACGGAAGTACTTCTTCAACACAGTCTGCCAAAGCATAATACTCGGCATGAGTTGATGCTCTTGACACTATTTTCTGTTTATGTGACTTCCACATGATCGGATTATTAAAAACTCTTATAAGGATTCCTGTCGTCGACTTCCTATCCGATTTATCTGCGGCCCAATCAGCATCTACTGCGTCCAATTGTTCTTCGTAGTCGGCGTCATAATTCATCTTCAAGTGTCTCGTGCAGTAAAGATATTTGAGAACTCGCAAGGCATATTTGAAATGCGTATCACTATAAGCATTTTGGAACCGACTCAAATAGTTTACGCTATAAGATACGTCTGGACGTGTTCCACTCGCAACATACAGAAGAGCTCCAATCAAGTTTCTATACTTTAACGTTGCACTGACATCTTGACTTGGTTCAATGCTTAAATTCATTTCCATTGGTGGCTCAAAGTTCTTTGATTCGATTACGTTATACTTTTCAGCTAAACTTACAATGTATTTTTCCTGGCTTAAAGTCATTCTGCCTTCTTTTGGTTCAAAAACTACATCTATTCCAAGATACTGTTTCACCTTTCCCAGATCTTTCATTCGGAATCTATTGTGCAATAGCCGTTTAACTTCGTCAATTGCCTCATTTTTCTCCCCACAAATCAAAATATCATCCACATACAGACATAGATATATATTTACATTATTTACACACCCTGTATACAAACAATAGTCATAGTCTGACCTATTGAAATTAATGCTTGACATGAATTCGTGAAAGCATTCATACCAATCACGTGGGCTTTCTCGCAATCCATAAAGAGCTTTTTGTAGTTTGCACACTTTATTATTCTCTGTACAATATCCATCAGGTGGGTAAATATAAACTTCAGACTATAATACTCCCATTCAAGAATGCTGTCTCAACGTCCATTTGTTCAATGTTCCATCCTCTTACACATGCAATTGATAATAAAGCTTTCATTGTCGTCATTCGCGCTACTGGTGAATAAATTTCCTCGTTTTCTTCATACATCTGTTGGAAACCTCGTGCGACTACTCTTGCCTTATACTTTCCATTCGACTTGATCCTAAAGATCCATTTAACATCTATTATTTTCTTATTTTCAGGTCTCTCAACTAAAATCCACGTTTCGTTCTTTTCCAAACTGTTCAATTCCTCTTTCATTGCATCTTTCCATTTATTTACATCCGGACTTTTTATTGCTTCATCATACGTATCTGGTACCAGTGCATCACTAAAATTTATATATACAACATGATCTTTATATTTCTCTGGCATTTTTCTATCTCTTTTTGGTCGGATATCCGTCACCTCCTCAGTCACAGCTCTACTTGATTTTTCCTTTGAGTCATCAACACTATCATAAAATTCTTCGTTTTCATCGTTTCATCTTCAGTATTTACTATCTTTATTATCTGTTCTTCTTTCGTACCTATAAATGTAACGTGACGACTAATGACTATTTTTTCATTTATTAATACTCTGTATCCCGTATCTGTGTATCCTACTAATATACCTTTTGTAGCCTTTGGGTTAAGTTTTGATGTGCGTAATTCGTCTGGAATTCGTACATAACACTGTGATCCGAAAATTTTTAAATTACTTACATTTGGCTTCCTCCCCATAAAAATTTCGTACGGTGTTTTTTTCTCATACGTATTTGTTAATATTCTATTACCTAGATATGCTGCAGTCATAACGCATTCAGGCCAATATTTCTTATTTATCTTTGCTTCTGTAAGCAGACACCTCGCTCTCTCCATTATGGTTCGGTTAAATCTTTCAGCTACACCGTTCAACTCGTGTGTATAAGCTGGCCCTGGTTTTAAATAAATACCTTTTTGCTTTGTGTAAGTGTAGAAATCGTTGTTAATATATTCTCCGCCATTGTCACATCTGATTTCTTTCACTCTCTTACCTGTTTGATTTTCCACCATATTTACATAATCTCTAAAACAATTCAAAACATCACTCTTGTTATTAATTAAGCATAGATAAGCTAACCTACTATAGTCATCTATGAATGACACAAAGTATCGTTGCCCCTTATATCCAGTGGGCGTAATCGGGCCTGCCACATCCGTGTGGATAATCTCTAACAAGTCTGTTGCCCGTCGTCTTTGATTTCCAAAAGGTAGATTTGTCATTTTGTTCATCAAACAAATTTCACATTGCACGTAACCCTCGCCTAAAGTGATTGGTAACCCATCTACAACCCTATGCCTGCACATTTCATTTAGTTTCTTAAAGTTAGGGTGCCCAAGTATTCTATGCCATTTTTCTTTTTCTGACATAATGTTACCACTTGTGTATGCTACTGTACCTGCACCTAAATTAACTCTGCCATCTAATTCGTACAATTTATTTTTCTTGCGTGCGACGGCCATTAAACCTATATGTACATTATATATATTTGCTATTTCTCCTCTAAATTGAATTGTATTATTTCTATTTACAATGCATGAAACGCTTAATAAGTTCTTTTTCATATTTGGAACATAATATACATTGGAAACATCAATTTTATTTGACTTACCTCCTGCTTTACAGTACATTGTTACATTTCCTATTTTCTCCGACTTAAGACAAAATCCATCACCTACCTTAATATTCACAGGTGTTTCTAAAATTTTATAATCACGAAAGAATTTATCGTCATTTACGATGTGATCGCTACATCCGCTGTCCAATAACCATGTTATATCCGCTTTCGTTTCAGTAGCTCCTGTCATCGCTTCTACTTCTACGTTGAATCCAAATCCATCACTGGTGCTGCTACTTTGTCCTGTATTCACGCTTCTATTGTTGTATCCTCCTCTATATCCTCTGTGAGTTCCTCGTCGTCCGCCTCCATATCCGCGTCCTCTACCACGACCATGACCACGACGTGCTAACTTAGGACAATCCCTCCTGTAGTGTCCTGGGCGGTTGCATTCAAAGCAGTTATCATTATTCCTGGACCCATCTTGGTGTTGATTTGATCGAGAACTGAACGTATGAGCTTCTTGTTCGCTCTGTTTTCTTTTCATTTCAAGTAGTAATTTGGACTTCACGTACTCCACTGTCCGATCTTTTGTCGGCATCGCATCAACAATATTTACAATATGTGCAAAACTCTCAGGTAATGCAAGCAATAAATAGTTCAGTCTATCCTCTTCCGACACGACTTCTCCAGCATTTTTCAATTCATTGATTTGTTTTTCAAATGTTTGTATGAATTCTAGTATATCGTCGCCATCTTTGAATTTTGTTTCTAGTACTTTCCTTTTAATTAATAATTTATTAGCACTGCCTTTTACTAAATACATCTCGTCCAATTTTTTAATCATTTGGTAAGCCGTACTTTCATTCATTATTATATCGAGCTGAGTATTATTTACGCTATTCACTATAATATTTCTAGCCTTTAAATCAATTTTTCTCCATTCTGTGTCTGTCATACCTTCATGTTTCATATCATTTTCCACAGCTTCTTGGCATTCTTTCATTTGTAACAACAACTTTAATCTAAATTTCCATTTTTCATAATTTGCACCATCAAATATCTGAATGCCCGCTTCTCCTATCTTTACTTCCATTTTCGGTAGCTTACGTCTTCAATTGTTTCGGTACTGACCTTGTCAAATAATTTCCACTTATCTTCCTCTTTCTATTTATTTTATTCAACAACGCTCCTTTGCTACCATGTTGAGGAAGTGGATCGTAGAAAGGAAAGACAATCAGCTCGTAATATTTAGTTTATGTAGTCCCAATCACATTACATTTTTATAGGTATACACCGTTGACGTATTTAGCAAAGTCCTAGAATGAAGTAACGGTGACATAGAGAACAGGCCATCGAGTCGCGCTAACAAGAAGGTTTTACATAAAATCATAACTTCAACAAAGTGAAATAGCATTTACGAAGTTAGGATCCTAATTAGCAACCTAAATCGGAAGAAGTGTGGCGTCTGACTGTCTAAATCATTTAGTATCCTAATTAGAACGCGATTTAGGAAGGTGGAATAGCGTTTAGATGCTTCAGTCGCACCCACAGAACAAGGTCGCACCGCAGATGTTACTGCGTGAGGACGTGTTGTATCTACGATCACTGCCGGATTTAGGGGAGGGCAACCGGGGCGAAAGCCCCGGTTGCCCTGCGGTTGCCCAGCGGTAAAAGAAAAATGGTTGCCTGTAAAGTCGGTTTTACGGGCGAAGATTTTACGTGACAACGTCTTTTTCTCGGTAGAATATTTATTGATATGAATATAATTAAATTGCACAATAGGAACAAGGAATTGAATGAAAATAAGAATTGCACAAATTTTAACTATAGAAATATATTTTGTTTACTAAAACATTGGTGTCGATTCTGGCATGGTTCTCTAAAGCTAAACTTAAATTTGACAACAGTGCATCCTTGTCCTTCTCTATACAGAATGAAAAGGACAGACTGATGTTAAATTTAGTTTTAAGTTTAGAGAATCCTGCCAGAATCGACACCATTGTACATGTAAACTTAAACTCATAGTAACGTTACCGAGCATTACACTTTTTGACGTGACAACGTCTTAAATTAGGTTGCGGCTGGGAGTCACTTATGAAAAAGTGTAACGCTCGGTAACGTTACGATGAGTTTAAGTTTACATGTACAATGTTTTAGTAAACAAAATATATTTCTATAGTTAAAATTTGTGCAATTCTTATTTTCATTCAATTCCTTGTTCCTATTGTGCAATTTAATTATATTCATATCAATAAATATTCTACCGAGAAAAAGACGTTGTCACGTAAAATCTTCGCCCGTAAAACCGACTTTACAGGCAACCATTTTCATAAGTGACTCCCAGCCGCAACCTAATTTAAGACGTTGTCACGTCAAAAAGAAGTAACGAGTAACATAATTGAATTGTATAAACATATGCCTTATATTTGGAACAAAAACGATAAAAATAATATTAATATTCTTTCATCCATGTTTTTCGTTTTTTATTTTATTTTTATTGAGCCAACGGCCAGGCCTACGAGAACACAGATCCTTTGTTGCTTTGACAGGGCTGGAGCAATTACGAAATAGTCCGACTGAATTCACCGCGCGTTTATAACTGACTGATTCAGTAACTAAATTAGTCAAGTGTAATCAGAATCTTCTATTTAGCCTTCTTTTTAGGATCCTAACTAGGACGTCTGAATTTAGTCAGGTGGAATAAGCGCATAAGCATTCGTAATTCTATCTATAAAGCCAGAAACATATTAACGTATCGTGTAGTGTCGTGGCGTGCCAGAAACACATCGGTTTCATACATTTACTATGGTTAGAGACATATTTATGTATCGTAATCGTGTCGACCCTCTAATCTCTCTCTCTCTGCGAATAATAAATGTATGAAATCGATATGTCACGATGTTAATATATTTCTGACTTAAGATGTAATGGCATTCAAAAAACTAGTGTGTAAAACGGGCTTACACTATCCAATTTTAAGGACCCGATCGAAAGGGTGGGCTTGGCGCATAGCAAGGGTAGTAGCAACATTACACCATGCCGATCGCCCTAGATCGGGTCCCTTACTCCCTAACTCAATTTACACTACCCATAGTCAGGGTAAGGGTCCCTTAAAATTGGACAAAGTCCGTATGAATACTTCCTGACCTGACTGCGTAAAATACAGATCAAGGTAAGTAATAACTTCATTAATTTGAAGATAAGTATAATTTGATATAAAATGTTGGTGAAATTAAAATAAATAAAAATCATAAAAATAAAATTTATTTTACTAGTATGTCACGACAGTTTTTGTAAAATAATACCTATTTATTGTAATACAATAAAAGTATTTGTTTCTTAGGTTTTCACGCACATCACTCATTAAATAAAACTAGTTTTTACGGGTTAATGCACGAAAACTTTATTTATTTATTGACGTTTCGCAGCCTTTTCAGGTCTGCATCGTCAGAATAATGATTTTATTTAAAATTGTCGAGCTACCTTCGAAAGAATTATATTGAGCGTTCGGTTATTTCATTGGAAGATTTTTAAAATTTTATTGTCTATGTATGAATTTATTATTTAATTTACTTAATAAAGTATTTTATTTAAAATTCTTGTTTGCAATTTTGAGTTTATTTATTTGACCCTAACTACCGTAAACTACCACCGGTTCCAAAATTGGGAGACCTTCCTGAGAAGAACCGGCGAAACATACTCAAGAGAGGCTTTCTATCTCCTTCTTATGTTAAATTATGCAAACAAAAAGAACTAATAGTATCTGATGGTCTTGCAGTGTGTGCTCGGGGTTGGGATTTTATCTCCTGTATAATAGGTTCCCAAGCTGCTGGTATATACCAACCATCTTCCCTATTGAAATTTGGATATTTTTTTATCTCAATAGCCTCGCGCATCATTCGAGGAACGAACCGCCGCTCAGCTGCAAGGATCTGTGGTCTATCAAATCTAATGTAGTGGTTTGGCGCCCTTAGGCGCGAAAATAAATCTGCAGTTGTGAACATGCATTAGGGGGACCAAACCACTACATTAGATTTGATAGACCACAGATCCTTGCAGCTGAGCGGCGGTTAAATTCCTCGAATGATGCGCGAGGCTATTGAGATAAAAAAATATCCAAATTTCAATAGGGAAGATGGTTGGTATATACCGGTTGGTCAGATACCGAAAATAGTCGCGTATTATCAGTCGCGTAACGCCATAACATAACAGGATTGACAGGCAAATATACTATAAAACATTCAGGTAGTTTTCCAATTACAGCACTACAGCGCATTAAGCGGCATAATATAACAATGAATGTTTCAACTACAGCAAGCACAATCGAGCACTCTCAAAAGTAATGTTTTCGTGTGACGCGTGCAATCGATACCAACTCAATGAAAGAAAATTAACAGGTATTTTTTCTTTAAGTTGGCATTGATCGAAATGTTTTATTTATATAATGATGTGGATTTAGGCATGATTCTCTAAACCTAAACTTAAATTTGACAGCAGTGTATCCTTGTTATTCTCTATCTCTACAATCATTAATGTAGGTAAAAAAAAAAAACTTCAACCGCGGCTGTATGGAAGCAGATACTTTGACTTCCTTTAAAGATAAAGAGAGTACAATTTGTTTTTCTTGTACACCCTCCATTCCTCCTGAACGCTCAAACCGTGCATGCCATAAAAAAAGAAAAAAGAAGGAAAATATCACCACACTACACTCCCATTTAATTCACAAGCATTAAAAGATAAAATAAAAACGCAAACAAAGTAGAAAGAGGAATAATTGTGCAAAAAACAAAATGTCTAAACGACCAGAACATCAAGCACCGCCAGAAGTTGTAAGAAATTTTAATATTTACGTAGAATTTAGATTTTAAAGAATTATTATTAAAAAAAATTTCTTTATAGTTTTACAATGAAGACGAAGCTAGAAAATATACACAAAAGTAAGTAGTAAGTGTATTATAAGCTTACATTGGTATTCCATAAATTATTAAAATTTTATAGATATTAATTTATTTTCAGTTCAAGAATTATAGATATTCAAGCACAAATGACTGAGCGGTGTCTGGAACTTCTTCTTCTTCCTGAAGACATACCATGTCTTCTGTTAGACTTAGGTTGTGGGTCTGGTCTATCTGGATCTGTGCTTGAAGAAAATGGACACATGTGGATAGGTCTTGATATATCCCCATCCATGCTTGGTGAGCATTAATATACTTCCGGACAAATATATTGGCCCACCTAGCATTTTAAGTTTTTACAGTAAAGATAAATGTAACATTGAACAAAAAGTTTTTACACTTTTTAAGCTGATTTATAAACCTCCTTTCTCGTGATTTTTAAAATATAATATTATTGCTCATACTTACAAATTTTTGCTACAGATTGTTCAAACTTATAACATTGACTGGGCTAATAAATGTGTCTAGAAGTATATAGTTATGATATTCTAATATTTAGAAATGTTCTTAACTATGAAAATTTTAGATGTAGCCTTAGAAAGGGAGACTGAAGGAGATCTTGTCCTTGCTGATATGGGGGAAGGAATTCCATTTAAAGCTGGATGTTTTGATGGTGCCATTTCTGTATCAGCTTTACAGTGGCTGTTTAATGCTGACAAAAAATCTCACAGACCTGTCAAAAGACTATACACATTTTTTAGCACATTGTATGCTTCTTTAGTAAGTATTTATCAACAGTAAAATAATACAAAAATTGAAATACTTAAGCTGATATTAATATATATTTTTTCTTTAGTCTAGGTCAGCTCGTGCTGTATTCCAGTTTTACCCAGAAAATGAGAGTCAATTAGAACTACTCACTACACAGGCAATGAAAGCAGGTTTTTATGGGGGTGTAGTAATTGACTACCCAAATTCTGCTAAAGCTAAGAAATTCTTCCTAGTACTAATGACAGGTGGTTCTGGTCCCTTGCCAAAAGCCTTAGGTAACAATTTTTTTGTATTTATAAATTCAATTAATTTTATTGGAACAGTGCAAAAAACAGTAGATCACAAAACAATAAAAATTCTTAATAACACTTGAAAGTTATTTTTGCAGAGGTGCGATTTCTTTGACTCTGAGTGTATTAGTTTTAATTTACTATTTATTCAGATATGGTTAATCAATTTCATTATTTTTTGTTCAGGAGCTGATGAAGTTGAGGATAATATTCAAGTAAAATATGCAAGAAGAGAAGCAGCAAAAGCAGCCCGTGGTAAACCCTTAAAAAATACTAAAGCGTGGCTTTTAGAGAAAAAAGAAAGAAGAAGAAAACAGGGTAAAGAAACAAAGCCTGATACTAAATACACTGGTCGAAAAAGAAGTGGCAGATTTTAAAAAAAAAACTTGTTATTGTTAATAATATTTTATATTTATTATAATTATCTAATTATTTCATATTTCCACACAGTGTCCACACCATGACCAATAGTCTCAATTGGTTTCAAATTTGGTAATGGAAATCTACAAGCAACTATTACTGCACCAGATTGTGCTTCTTTTAGCAGTTTATACTCAAAATCTTGCATCATTTGTTCAACACCGAAAATTACTATGTTTTCATACTGTTTCAAATTAAAAGTCCATAGATTATGCCTGTAGAATTTAGTTTTACGTAACTCTGGTTGTAATAAGGAAGCTAATCTTGAATAGTATACAAGCCAGGGATTGAGTTCTACCCCTTCAGCTTTAAAACCTAGCTTTGCTGCAGTGAAAACAATTCTTCCATCACCTGAACCAACATCCAGGAGCTTTCCACTTCTATTTGCTAAAGCTTTAGATACACCAGCCAATTGCTCCGTAGTTGCTGGTACATATGGTAAACAAACTTTTCTTAAGGCCGGAGATACAAATGGAATACACACAACGCTTACTCCAACCGCAAGTCCCCCCGTAGTATAAATTAATATTTTGCCAATAGGTGATAATTGAGAGTTCTTTTTTAGGTTATTATTTTGATTGAGTAAATGTAAGTCCATAATTACTGTTTGCTATATAAAGTTTTGTAGCAAGCAACAATCTTTCTAGGTTACATTATCTTATTAATAAAATTTAACTAGAGAATTTGTTCTAAATTATCTACTCCGAATTAGAATGAATTCTCTCAACTAGGGACACGAAAAAAGTATCGATACTTTGTGATATCGAGTACTTTTCCTTTCGATACCGATACTTTTGTACTCGATACTTTTACTAAATGAGTACTTTTTGGCAAGTATCGATACCTTTAAAAATTTGGATAAGCGCCTCATACTGATGGCAACGCCATCTTGTCAAATCATAGCAAACCTTCTAAAACGTTCCATAGGGTATTTGACAAGTTTTATGCAACGATCTCACGTTATTGTTGTGTTATGGAGTCCATAAAAAGTGGATATTCATCATTCTGTTGTGTATTTCAGTAAAAATAACCAAATCAAAAACTCCATTTTCAAGTTGCCGCGAAAACGTTTCTCTGGATAATATGGCGTCTTACTAGTGTGTGACGTCACACGACTGTTATAAAAACGTCAAACGATACAATGTAATGTCACTTTGACGGGAAGTTTACTTGCGTGTGACGTCATTTTATTCTCCGCCAATTCGAAGCGTTTTGGATCACGTGACAAAAGATAAGAAAACTAATATCTTTTTCGTTATTTTGGCACTTTATTTTTAATACTGTCAAATGACCCATTGCGTTGTTATAAAGTCAGTAACTGACATATTCAAATTCTTTCCAATCTGTGACTGTGTTTATTTTGCGCTTTGTTTTGTTTCATAGTTATTTATTTAGCGACCATATTGTTAGGAACTGTGATTGATTCGCCGTTTATTGTGCTTTTCGCTTGACTGTATTTGATTTATTCAAGTGTAACACTATTATTCTGTCTGTGCTATGTATACTTATTTGAAACCACCTGAAAAAAAGAATATTAATGAACACTTTTTTAGTGTCAGAAATCCAACTATTTTCTTTTCATTATATAATATAGCAATTTGTGAATTTACATGTCCTTTTTTTGTTTTTGGTTATACGTACTATAATAAAATTCGATTGTTTTTCTTTCAATTTTAACACCGGGGGGGGGGGGGGGGGTTGCTCATCAGGCCACAGAGGCTCCGATAAGACCCTATGAAATGTACTCGATACTTTGAAGTATCGATACTTTTGTTTCGATACTTTCTATTCGATATCGTGTCCCTATAAACCCATAGAGTATACTAGTGGTGTCGATTCTGACGTGATTCTCTAAATTTAAACTAAATTTAACATTAGTCTCTCCTTTTCATTCTGTATAGAGAATGACAGGGATGCACTGTTGTCAATTTTTTGTTTAGCTTTAGAGAATCATGTCAGAATCGACATCAGTATCTAACTAAACCATATTAACAGTGTTGCCAGGTCCTATTTTAAAAACCGGGAGGCGTTAAAGGAAAAAATCAGTAAATGTATGGAAAGAGCTGCAAGTAAAAGCAGTATTTTTTACCATTTGCAATCGATAAATCAAACATAGTGCAACAACAAATTTTCGTGCGTTTCTATGGGCCTATGGCTTCCGCCCCTCAAAACTCGTTTTTTTTTTTTAACAAAAACGTATTTATTGGTGTCGACTCTGGCATGATGCTTTAAACTTAAAGCTAATATTTAACAACAGTCTATCCCTTTCATTCTGTATACAGAATGCCAAGTAAAAACATCGTTGTCAAATTTAAGTTGAGGTCTAGAGAATCCTGCCAGAATCGATACCAGTGATGGCATGTAAACTAAGGTAACATTTTTAATGGTGAAACCCTTAGACCATTAAACCACAGGATTAGCATCGCAAGATCTTTCCCCTCTGTCAAGGTATAAGATCAAATGATCCAGTGCGTTCATAAAAACTACTTACAATCAATAGATTTCCACAGTGTGAGAATCGTTATCGTTGTGACAACAGCCCGTATCTCCTCGCAAAAAAATGCCAACCTGTGCCGTTTTAACGTGTAAAAAAAGATCAAACACATCTAATTTACAAAAAGACGGGATATCATTTCACATGTAAGTGTTTTTTCTATATTTTAGTGCTTTTTTTCAATTAAAAATGAATTTTACAATAATCGAGAATAGAAACTTGCAAGTAATCGAGTGAGATCCAATTCGAATGTGTGCCGAAATATATTCATAGGATTTTATACCTTATGTTTAAGAAATAGAGTCCATTTCAGTGACCTAAACTATTAATTGGCGAATATAGTCTCTATTGCACACTCCCCACGAGACTAGCAAACGCACTCCCCACGAGACTATATTTTTTAATTATCAAGTTTCGACCTTAGTCCCCGTATTTAAGATTCGAAATAAAAATTATATAACTTGAATTGAGTGTAGCGAGACTATTTATTTACGACTTTTAAGTGATGGGAAATAAAATTATCGATAAAATGGTTTTTTGTTTTTTTATTATTTATTAAGCACGTTGCGGGTTAAAAATACGAATTGTAGGATACTTGTATTTTATTGTAAATTGTCCTATAAAAGTAAGACTGGCTTTTTAAATTTATTCAAAAATACTTATTAAAAAATCTTATGTGATCTTAACGTACGCTTCCCAAGTCATCTTTTTCTTTTATGTGATTAATTAACTTGAGTTAATCTGGTGTCAGCCTTTTCCAAGCAGCCGCGTTTCCAGGAGCAACGGCTTAATGTGCCTAAGCAAGAAAATCGGTTTCCAATTTAGGTCACCCATCTGGGCACTGACCGCGCGTTTGGTTGCTCAACTTTTACTATTGCGAATAACGCGATCGTAGTGCCACTAACCTGCTCTGGTTAATAGTATAGTAATACAAAGTGAGTACCTGCAAAGCATCAGAACTCCAGAGAAAATAGTTCTCTTGATATTAGAGTTTTGCTGCGGTTATGACCGTTTGTGTCGTGTCGTTTCGCTCAACCATATTGTAGGGAACGCAACGACCCGCCTCACACGACACCGCCGAAGATATTTTTTAAGAGAGCATGAATACCCATAACCACTCAAACCAACTAAAATAGTTACTTAGAATTAAGGTAATTTATCTGTACGACACTGCAAACAAATACAAAACAAATTTGCAGTTACAGCCATGCAGTTATGTCATTCAAGTATTCTTTAATAGTATAATAGCCTTTCTTAAGTAAACAATTTTTAATGTAACATTTGAACTCATTTATGGGTAACTCAAGAATAGCATCAGGAATTTTATTATAAAAATGTATACCTTGACCCATAAAAGATCGGTAAACCTTCTGTAACCTGTAGGGTGGCAATGCAAGCTTATTTCTATTCCTTGTGTTAAAATTATGCACGTTACTGTGTTTGGTATACAAATTGATATTATTTTTAACAAGGAGTATACAATTATAAATGAATTGAGAAGCAACAGTCACTATGCCAATTTCTTTAAATTTTTCTCTAAGAGATGTTCGGCTACTCAATTGATAAATAGATCTCACAGCTCTTTTTTGTAGAATGAATATACTTTCAATATCAGCTGCTGTTCCCCAGAGTATAATGCCGTATGATAAAATACTTTGAAAGTAACTAAAATATACAGTCCTGGCAGTTTCTGTATCAGTAAGTTGTCTTATCTTTCTTATGGCATAAGCTAAATAAACCCAGACTCGAGGAATCTTTTTGTTAACATTAAAGAATTAACTATTTATCTCTCCTGGCTTCATTATCAGACTGGCTCAATGATATCAGATTATTGTATTGTCATCCGAATTACATACACTTACCAAGTTTTGAATCAATATGAGAATAAGAAGTAGATTGAATTCGACTTTCCAGATTTATTTAAATAGTTAAGTACAAGTGAAGCTAATATAAGCGTGTTAAAATATGATAAGTTTTGACTTGTTTGACATAAGCTCTTAAAAGATATGAAATCATCAACAGATTTTGTACCACTGAGAATAATTGTAATAATCTTAATGTTAAATAAAAGTGAATTTAGAAGATTATTTGAGTTCATGTTGTACTTTTTTCAATAAAAGTTTTAATCTAATGTCTTACAGTATTTTATTTCATTTTAGTTTACCTACAGTTACAGGAGCAAAATTTTTTTATTGTCGAAACCGTTAAATTTAACACACATTTTATGCACAGGACTGTACCTATGTTGAAACGATTGGTTGACAGATAAAAAGAAATGAACATAATATATACCTAAAACAAATGATATTTAGGATTTTCTCCCATGAAAGCGATTTTTTAAGTTTAGCAAAAATTATAAGTGAGTGGGTAATTGTGCCAGTGAGAGTATTAAAAAACCCGGACTTATTGTTCCCGTTGCCATATTTTTGCATAAAATAATCTTTGAGAACAAGAAAAACTATCGATATTGTTATTTAAAGAAAAATAAAATATCGATACCGGACTTTCCCTAGTTACGATTACTTGTGATTGTCATTAGTGTGCGTAGGTGAAAAATATATATGTAGGCGATTGTAACAATACAAATAACTAAGACTGTGTGGGTTTATTTCAATGTAGTGGTTTACCTCGTCCCTCTCAAAAAGTGACAGACTTTGCACTGAGTAAAATTAGGCGCGTACTTAGTCCAGTGGTTTAATGGTCTAAGGTGAAACCGAAAAATCACAGCACAGGTGGTTAGCGCGACTCATTTTACGTAACAGTTCAATTTAAAAAAAAAAAGAAAATCGTACTCTAAGAAAAAGAGAAGATTCGTGTAGAGAAACAGAAGAACAGGAGACATTTGAAAAAAAAAGAGATCTCCTGTAAAATCGGGAGACCAGCAACTCTGCATATGACCGTGGATTAGAATGTGACAGCAATCTCTCTTTTTCATTTAAATAAGGATAAATTTTAAGTCCTCTATTTGTACTCCGTGTACACTATAAAGCTGGAAATATATTTAAATAGGCTAGTTGACTCATGTCGAATTGTATTAAATAAATGTTTATTTCTTACAGTATTTGGTCTAAGGAACCTAAATATATCGATTTCACTTCATAAAAGCAGAAGATTGCTGTAGAAATTTAATTTAAAAAAATATTTTTTAGTCTATATTTTTTAAACACTAAAAACACTGTTCGCTACATCCGCCATGATTGTGACGTCTCTTTCAGTAAACAACTAAATGTCATTCGCGTGTTGTTATAGGTGGATTCTTTAGTCTGAATAATTTTTTCTTAAAACACTTTTAACTTAAGAAAAGTTTCCGTTTACTGTTTTTTTTGACAAAACTAATTATGGATGCCGGCTTTGTGAAAGCAGAAAGCACAAATCTGCCAAGAATTGACGCATTGATGGTTGGTGATTTTTTTGCACTGAACCCCGATTTCTGCTCTGCGGAGCAGAGAAACGACAAGGCATCTATGTAAGTAAAGTGCATTTAGTATTACAATGTAGTAATAAACATAATACTGATACAACATATGAATTAAGTGTAATAAAGTTGCGTAGGTTAATTTCTTTCGGCACTTTAATCCACAACATTCCTGGAGTCTTCAAGGATGTGTTTTTATATTCTCGTACAATACAATAATGATAATTACTTTATTTTTCGTGATATTTATTAGAAATCATGTTCTTTTTATTATAAACTCAGATAAGTTATTTTCTACGTGCTTACGAGTTTTTGTTTACTACAGTTGACATCATAGCATAGACAATCTATAGACTAAAATGGCCGACAGCGTTTTTGTATGTCCATGAAAATTCTATTTTAAAATTAAAGATTTGTAGCTTTCTAGGTCTCAAAAAAATACAATACATTTTTTTTCGGTCTAATAGAACATTTATTAACCATTTAAAACCTTATTCCAAAAAGGGTCAACTAGCCTATTTCGTGTTGCGTCGTGACACGTCACAGAGGTATTGGTTTCATACATTTTATATCGCTATGTTGCCTTAAGTTTAGATTTAGAGAATCATGCCAGAAGCGAAACCATTATTTTATGGGACTATTATATTATGGGATCCTTATAATAATTCGGTATCCTAGCTGCAGTCTACACTAGATTTTAGTCTGAAAGTTGGCAGAACTGTTTGCCGGGCCGGGCCGGCTGCCCGGCAGAAAAGGGCTAGAACCCAGTGCCGTAAAACCAAAATAGAAAAAAACAGGCCGGCTGTCAATGTCATTTTATGTTTGGCTGGCTACCTGCTGGCTGGAACTTACTTGATAGAGGTTTAATTTATTGGAAATAATCTAAATTTATTTAAGATGACTGCGTTTGAAGAATTCGGCGTGCTTTCCGAATTGGGTAAGGCTATCGAAGAAATGGATTGGACCTTGCCTACTGACGTTCAAGCTGAAGCCATACCACTGATTCTCGGTGGAGGAGATGTTCTTATGGCAGCGGAAACTGGTAGCGGTAAAACCGGCGCTTTCTGCTTACCCATTCTGCAAATTGTTTGGGAAACCCTAAAGGATCTTCAAGAGGGGAAGGGCAACAAAGTTATAGCACAGATTTCATCGGAATGGACTATGTCTTTCTTCGATCGTACAGATGCGTTAGCAGTCACTCCAGATGGTTTACGGTGTCAGTCTCGTGACCAGCAGGGCTGGCATGGCTGCCGAGCTACTAAAGGAGTGCACACTAAAGGAAATTATTATTATGAAGCCACTGTTACTGATGAAGGCTTGTGTCGTGTAGGATGGTCTACCCAAGCCGTAAGTAGATTTAAAACAACTACATTTTGTTAGTGTTGTGTAAAAGACAATATTATTAATCTACTTGGCCATAACATACATATCAACAACTTTCTGTTATTTAATAAAATTACAAACATTACATAAAAACATTATAAAATATTACACTTATTGAAATGTACTTGTTCACAGTAATAAGAATTAATATCAATGTAAAAAAAACCTTTTCTCAAAACATTTATTTCATTTTGTACTGCTTATACACACAAGCTATGTTAGTTAGCTTTTTGTTTCAGTCATAATGTGGAGGTCAGCACATTCTGAAATTGACCATGTTACTTTTTATTTGAACTTTTAGTGTTTTAACTGTTTATTTATTTAAATTTTGGTTGGAGGTGCTGTTGTTGTCATAAATATATGAATAAAAAATACTTTTTTTTAGGCCCGATTAGATCTTGGTACAGATAGATTAGGTTTTGGTTTTGGTGGAACAGGCAAGAAATCAAATGCCAAACAATTTGATGACTATGGAAGTGCTTTTGGAAAAAATGATGTCATAGGTAAGACAGTGATATTGTATAAATATTATCATAGCTTCACACATTATGTCACTTGCGGAATGCCAATTGCTTAGGCATCTAAAGTGCAACATCACAAATGAAATATGTAGATGTCCATCAGTTTGATGAAGGCATATGTCTCCTACAGTTTTACACTATTTCATTTAGTTTTTTCCTTTCTATTTCCATTTTCTTTTTGTACAGGTTGTCTTCTCAGTTTGACAAATGGAGAAATTCGTTACACTAAAAATGGTGAAGATCTAGGTGTTGCATTCAAGTTAGATCAATCAAGACGTTCAGACTGCTATTTCCCTGCAGTTGTGCTGAAAAATGCAGAAATGAGCTTCAACTTTGGTGCACAACCCTTCAAGGTAGCTTCTTGACTTGAATTATTGGAGTTTAACCATAATTTAATACAACTATATAATTTTGTAACAGATAGCTATGTATCTGAAACCAGTACAAAAATTGATTGTTATTGAAAATGATATAAGGTTAGAAATAGGGAAAAATTCCATGTGAAATTTTTCTAGCAACATTTTCTTTAGATTTAAACATATAGCAATAAAAATGCTTAAAAATCTAAATATAACTATGATTTAAGGTTTCATTCAATCGAATGTCTCTGGAAATGTAATCAAGGCTAAATATAAACATGAAAAAAATTTGGTCTAAGTAGTGCAAGTGAATATATCACCTTATTTGAACTTGAAAATAAATCAGTAATAGAACTTTATTATTGTTACAGCATTCATCACCTAAAGACTTCATAGGAATTTGTCAAGCCCCTAAAGAATTTGTTAAGAATAATGTTATCACAGCTGGTACCGCTGTAGACAGTAAACCAGTCAACAATGCTCCACAAGCAATCATCATAGAGGTAAGCCAATGATTAAATTATTTATTCTATATTACCAAAATACAGTAAATGGCAGACTTAATGCCATAGGCATTTGCTACCGGTCAACCAGTATGGGTGTATGAGATTTATTTATTTATAAATGTTATGATGGATGTTTTATAATGATAATGTTTACTTAATCCTAGTTTGATAGCACTTCACATGCACACACTATTTTTGCTTGCTATATATGCTATATATAAATTTTAGATTGGTATATTCCTATCTTAAAGGAATGAAAAGATGAGACTGTTGTCTACAAATATCCATGTGAAGTACCAGCATAAAGAAACAGGCTTCTTCATTTTCTTGTTTTAGTTAGGTATGCCTAAAAAAAATCTAGATTTGGTGACACAAGACATTCTGTCTCATTTCACATATGCTGTTAGGAATAATATGCTAATAGGGGTGACGACAGGGTAAAGTAAACGAAATTCCAAAGATAAAGCGCGTTAAAGTGAGGCAGCTGGGGTTTGTGATGTTACTTTTAAGTAAAAAATTTACCACAACGTGACGTCATGCGGCTTTTCAATTCAATATATCTCTGTAATGTTTTGATATTATTTATTTTTAATATTTTTCTCCTTTCTTCATGTAGCCATCACGTGAATTAGCTGAGCAAACATGCAACCAGATTACGAAATTCAAAAAGTATCTAGAAAACCCTAAAGTGCGCGAACTATTGGTTGTTGGAGGCGTCAATGTTAAAGATCAAATAAACCAGCTCTCTTCAGGAATCGATATAGTGGTTGGAACACCAGGACGTCTAGAAGATTTGATTCAAGGAGGTAAAAAATATTTTTTGTGTGCTTCAGCCTTTATGGAGGCTGTGAAGTTAGCAACGAGCACAACTATGCACAAGTTTCGGGTCAGTAACATCCAGCGCGTGCTTACATCATCTTACATTTCGTTTACTGCGCCATGACTTGCTACTAATTTCAAAGTCGCCATTTTTCTCTTATAGCCAGGTTGGCAAATGACTCTACCCCACCTCATGTTCAGTGATGACAAAGTCCAAATGCGAAGATATCTGGTACAACAGCTTGTAATATTATAAAATAAGATGGTGTTAAATGTAATAATAAAATAAAATGAAATGGATAGGCCGAAATTAATTAAAAAAGAATACTCGGGCGCCAGACCTACCACATTATTATTAGCCGGGAAAGCATCGAACTATTAATCGCAAAGGGGGTTTAATGCAAATCCATATTCATTTTGGGTTGTCAATTTATTTAAATTTACTCTGATCAAAAAGGGGTTACTGCTAAATTTGGAAACTAATGCTAAGATTCTACCAAAAATTAAACTTAAAATTTACCTTGATGGATCCTGGTACAACAATAAATTTAGAAGATTACCGACCTCGCTGCATGCTCGATGGGTAGGTATGTCTGGTGTTGAGAATATTTAAGGATGGCCGTTCAAACTGCTGGTTCACTTCCACATCATGAGAAATGTTGAAATTTAAGTAAAAAAATAAAATCCAAATAAAAAAACGCTTTTCGCGTTTTATAAACAAATTAAGCTTGGGTCACGGCCCTCGCCATTCCGTATAAATGATGCAAAATTTCCATCATTAAAAACAATCGATAATCTAATGGATTATCAAGTTAAAAATTTAGATTAACATTAGACCATCTTTTGTGTCTAAGTTTTCGTCGTGAAGTCAAGTGACATTAGTTTTTTCTTAAGTTCGTTTTCTCTTTCCTGGTAGGCAAAGAGAACAACGTCCATACAGCTTACTGATTGATTAAGGCAGAAACATAATTATTCAAAAGTGCATAGATTAAAGAAAATGGACTTGAGATAAAAACGAACAGAGAGAGACAACCTAAGAAAGTCTTCTATCTCGCTCTTCGAGCGAAATAGAAGACTTTAGAAGATTCATGTAACGTTTTTAACACGTTACAAGCTGTTATAAACTGCCACGCTAACCATCCTCATCTTTTGGGCTTGTAAAAATGCATTGTCACGCCTCTCTTCTTTTTGTTGGAATCGCACTCTACCTCCTTTTATTTCAACATTATCAAAATCTTTTTGTCAGTAGTTTATGAATTACTAATGGGTTATATAACAGGTTATCTAGCGTTGACCCATTGTCGATTCTTCGTATTGGATGAAGCTGATGGCCTACTCAAGGCAGGGTATGGAGAACTGATTGAGCGATTACATAGACAGATCCCTAAAATCACATCCGACGGTCGTCGCTTACAGATGGTTGTGTGCTCAGCTACCCTGCATGCATTTGAAGTTAAGAAAATGGCGGTAAGTGTCTTCAAAGATACAGCTATTAAGCGAAATGCGGGGTAACCTGATTGTAATAAAGTTGAAAATTTAATGTCTAGTTTACACTATACTTTTATTGTTATGAAATAACATATCATGTTCAGTTATAAAATTTTATTTTGTTATGTAACAGAAAATAAGTTCCAGAATACATTCGTAATATTTTTTTAGGAGAAACTTATGCATTTCCCTACTTGGGTGGATTTGAAAGGTGAAGATGCTGTGCCTGAAACCGTTCATCATGTGGTTGTGATGGTTGACCCACAAAAGGACCGTCAATGGGAAACATTACGCAGGTATAAATGTTCATCAAAATGAAGAATTTTCCAATGCCAACTAGGACTTTTTTCTGAACAAATATCCCCTATATTTTTTTAGAAATATTCCCACTTGACACTGATGGTGCAATATTAGGGGTTGTGGCTAGGAATGTACTTTTTATTAGTATCAATATCCTAATCCAAACAATATGTAGCAATATTTTGTACTATAAACAGAGTTTACGTAACGTGGAGTGCTTTCTTTATCACACAATAGCTTATAATAGACAAGGATGGAAAACTGCGTGAAATCGTCGTTACTTTTCGGTCGATGATCTCTTTGCGTTTGCGCAGTTTCTGCGAATAGAGTATAGTTAGTTAAAAGTAATGGTAGTAATAATCACACTAATATTATAAATATTAATGATTGTGAGTGTGTATGTTTGTAACTTCTTTACGTCTAACGGCTGGAGCGATTTTAATAAAATTTACTAGGCTACGTTTTACTGCGGGAAAATATCCCTAATAAACCGCAAGTAACACCGTGGGGCACAGCTAGTTGTAAATATTTTATTTATTAGTTACATACACATATATTTTTATTAAGTATGAAAGTACAATACTTACTTATATGTATTTCTATCGACAGGCATGTTCAGACTGACGGTGTACACGCAAAAGACAATATTCGCAGCGGTAACACCACGCCGGAGACTCTCTCCGAAGCCGTCAAGATTCTCAAGGGAGAGTATTGCGTACGCGCCATCAGGGAACACAAGATGGACAGGTGATATTTTTATTAATTATGGATGTAACTGAGCTTCGACCCCGATTCCGATAAGGTGGAACTTCCGATTATTATTACACCTCCGGTTCCGATTTCGGCTCCGGAACTTTTAAATCGGAGGTCGAAGCATAGCAAATAGCTACGGCGGCTTGCGTCGACCGTTACGAACTGGTTCATACCCATCGCGCCCATTTAAATGAAAAAAGCTTATTTTATAGTAAAAACGTAAGCAGTCAACCTTACCTTTTAATTATAAAATAACTTTTTGTAATTTAAAGGTAAGGTGGTAAGGTGATAATGATGTTTTTATTTGTTCTTAAATGAACAATATCTTTCTTGTGACCACTTCTGATTCTGCCTCTGACCCGACTCTGCTTCCGACTCCGGTTCCGATAATTTTTATTTGTTTTGTTACCTTAAGTTATGGAGACGATAACAGAGTCATGTTGTTAAGTTAAATGTTTGTAAGGACAAATCTCAGTTTGTCCTTGGTGGGCGATTATGTATACGCCATTTGTGCATATAAAATTTTAGTTCATATGTGTCAAAATAGATGGCGCTGTAGTTCGTTGCTTCACGCTTGTAAATATGTTTGGAGCTACATATAGGCAAAACGTCACCTAACTAATAAAGAAATCTATGGTCTAACAAAATACACCGTAGTTTCAATTTAATTCTTTTGCACCTAAGCTCTCGGATTTAAGAGTCATTTTGGCTCGAACAGGATGCGCACCTAAAACGTAACGAGGAGGTCATTCATCGATAGATTTTACTCCTCACATTTTTCTCATACCGGGCCCCTTATATATGCAAATCGATTCTTAAGGAGTAAACTCCAAAGAAAAATCACCCCCGAGAAAGGGTAGCAACCACCCCCCGGGTGTTTGCGGAGTTCAAATCATTTTCACTTTTTAACACATTCACAACACATTCCAAAATTGTATGCAATTCGGTTCACAGTAAAAAAAATCGAAGCAATAATGCTTCAATGACTGCACTAATATACTTGTTTTGAAATCATCACGTCCGTTATGTGAAAAAAGTCACAGAGAATAGACTGCACATTACAGACCTGCATGAAAATTATTGTTCTCTAGAAAGAAAGGAAAGAAACGTGCGACCGACTAGTAGTTTGCCGTCGAATTTAGGAGACAACTGCACAGTGCAACTAAATTAAAGAGCACATTAAGGGCACCCATGTGTGCCAACCTTATGTAGCAATACAACATGAGAGTGCGACACACCACCAAATGTCGCAAATGATAGATTCGACCGTGACGTCATAGTGACGTCTCCAATCAAAACACGGCTTGCCCTTCCCGCAAGCCACCAACTTTGGAGGTTTCGATTTCAAACAAAAATTGTGTAATGCGTTCTGTAGTAGTAGTTCTGTAGACTGCTGGATAAGGAGTATTCCTTATGTGTATTCTGCCTATTCTCGTACTATGTTTCCAACCGCGTTTTGATGGCACGCCAGGGCTATAATCTTCTGTCGCACCAAACTGGACTGCGACAACATGGAGCGTTACCTGAAGTCGTTCGGCAAGGAGTTCACTTGCGTATGCTTGCACGGGGACCGCAAGCCGGCCGAGCGCAAGGGGAACCTGGAAATGTTCAAGCAGTCGCAGGTCAAGTACCTGATCTGCACCGACGTCGCCGCCAGGGGTATCGATATATCAGGACTGCCATTCAGTAAGTATTATTAGATTTATTATACTTATAAGTATGTTGTCTAATTTCTTTATCTATCTGTATATATAAAAAACAATTGCTCTTCGTTAGTCTCGCTAAAACTCGAGAACGGCTGGGCCGATTTAGCTGATTTTGGTTTTAAAATGTTTGTCGTAGTCCAGGGAAGGTTTAAACGGTGAAAAAATATGGAAAAATTGCGAGGAAGATAGTAAAAATACAATTTCATTTTCCATATAAATCATTATTGTAAGCAGTACGAACTACGCTGGGTAGGCTAGTGTGTTATATTTTTATTAAAACACTAGCGGCCGCACGCTACTTCGTCCGCGTTGTCTTTGGTTTTTTTAGAATCCCTCAGTAACCTAACATTTTTTCGGGATTAAAAGTGTCATAAACTATATGCATACCAAATTGCATCCAAATCTGTTCAGTAGTTCCTGCGTTATAAAATAACAAACATATAAACATACAAACATACAAACTTTCGCATTTGTAATACTACTGCTAGATTCTTATATGTCGAAGCTAGCAATGCTAGTTCAGATTCTAACCTAACCTGGGTAAAATCGAGTAAACTAGTTTTTTCTAGCATAACATAATCTTCAGATACCAAATACATACCTTGTAATTGTAAATTTCGTCGAAAGCGGGACATAGTAAAAAAAGACGTATATAATCAAAAGTTATTGAATATTTATCTTAATTACGCGCCGGGCAGGCGGCCAGTCCACACTTGTCTGTGCCACCCGCTCGCACTTTCTCAGTACGCTGCACGCACGGTTGAGTAATTCCCGCAAAGCGGGATTGAGCCGGCGCGGGACATTAAATTTTGATTTAAAAATCGGGACGTCTGGCAACGCTGATTCTTTAATATAATATCGTTATCCAGTGATCAACATAACACTTCCCGATGAGAAGTCTAACTACGTGCACCGCATCGGTCGCGTCGGGAGAGCCGAGCGGATGGGGCTCGCCATCAGTCTCGTGTCCTCTGTACCGGAAAAGGTGAGTGGCGTAGGATAATCATCACTTCCTGTAACTTAAAGATTTTATCTCACCATTTCGTCGGTCGTATAGGTATGTCAAATTACTGATGTCTAGTACTAACTCAGAGAAGTCAATTAAATTTAAAGTTTGACTCTCTGAACAAGAACTAAAGCATAGAAGTAAAGATATTATAAGTACCCTAGATACACTACGTGCTCTCAAAATGTGTCCCAATCAAGAAGTGCATGAACATCACTCAAGCACATCTTGGTTCACAGTAACGCGCGGACTGTTAAAAAGTCAAGATAACGCAGAGCTCCGTGAAAAAATGCGAAAAATATTTATAGTACGTAAAGCCGTCGTTTTTTGGATAAGTATCCAATCAATGTTTGTTAATCAAAGCGAAGGATGCCGGTTCGACCCCCGTCTGCTGCCTGGTCCACGTAGAATTTTTTCTAGTATATTTTTTTAGATTTTAACATCTAAATATATGTATATCAAATAACTATATCAGTCGATTTTTTAACTTTAACTACGCTTTAGGTTTTGGTCTGATTTTTGTTTAATGCTGATGCTTTAATTAACTTTATGATAACAATATAATGAGACAACACGTGACATAATAAAAGCATTATCTCAATTTAAATTTTCTTGTTATTTTTTTTGATAATCCTACTCACAGGTGTGGTACCACGGCGAATGGTGTTCGTCCCGCGGCCGCAACTGTTGGAACACGAGTCTCATCGACGACCGACCTAAAGGGTGCTGCATGTGGTACAACGAGCCTCAGGTATTTACTACTATTTACTTTTCGGGTACAAACATTTTTCTTTTTCCAAAAATGGTGCAAGCGTTTAAGTCTTTTTGATCTTAATAGCCATATTTACAGATTTCATTGAACTGTCGAGTGTTTTTTTGATCTGTTACATCTTTCCTCTCGCTTTGTGGGAGTGATTACGTGAAGTGGGACGGAAGTGTGTAACAGAAAGGTTAGGAAGCGCGCGCTATTTGATTTGATTTTAGAACATAATGTTCAAATGGCTTATTCCTTTTTAGTACGTTTTATATCTTTTTTTACTAATATAAGGTAAGTTTTCAAATGTTTTTATATAAATGCTGCTTCCCCACTCTGTGGCAGGACTTTGTAGGTAGTGCTTTTGTTTTTATTCGTCTTTTGAAAAAATTTCTTTTCTCTGCATCATATTTTTGTTTTGGAGATATTGTTTTCTCTTTTTCTTCATTATATATTTTAGATTTTTTTTCCTAAATTTATTATTCTTATATATTGATTTTCTACATATACTAGTATGTATGTTTACATCTTTGTTCATATCTCTAGCACTCTTTAAGCCGTTATTTATTTTTTGTTATAATCATTCATCTCATCATCAATCATTTGATTTACCTTTCTATTAGCCTCAGGTTTTTACTACTAACTACTCATCGGCCACAAACCTTTTTCTTTTTTCAAAAATATGGCAAAGCCTTTAAGTCTTTATGATCTTAATAGCCATATTTACAGATTTCAATAAACTTTCGAGTGTGGGTTAATCTTATTAACTCTATAGTAAGCTAAGGAGGCACTACTATCAGATTTCATCATCATCACCATATTTGTGTCCCCCCTCCTGGGGCATAAGCCTTTCCTATAGATGGAATAGGGAGATTTGGCCATGACCCACCACGTGGGCCCAGTGCAGATTGGCGAGTGCTAACGACTGCAGATGCAGCCGGGACCAACGCCTTAACGTGCCTCCCGGAGCTCGAGCTAGTAAATTTTTGGTCACCCATTCAATGACCGACCACTGTGAAAGTTGCCTAACTTTAACGATCGCTTCCGAACGCGCTTACCACTTGCGCCATCGAGATCGACTATCAGATTTAGTTTACGCTTAAAGAATCATATCAGAATATTAGGATCGATGATCATAATTTAGTCTGCTACAACAATGAATACAACGTTTTCGAAGCTCGATATTTCCTTCTATAATTATCACCTATATTTTGTTACCTTGCTTTCAGTATTTGGCGGATATAGAAGACCACTTGAACGTTACCATTCAGCAAGTCGAGCCCGACATAAAGGTCCCCAGCAACGAGTTTGACGGCAAAGTTGTGTATGGTCAGAAGAGGACGCAAATCGGAACTGGCTATCAGGTTTGTTTAACTATTTCTGTTGAATCCAACACCATCGGGTAAGAGATTGAGTTAGGGTAGGCAACGGCGCAAGCTTAGATTAAAACAAAAAGGGAAGATACTGTACTCACGATTCAAAAGTGAACCGCACAAGTTGTGCATGACCACAATTCGCTGTAGACACATTTGGACATTCAAACACGCTACTTGTGCACTCAATATAACAACATTGCGTATATTCTGTGTTATAAAGATAAAACAATGCCTTCGATGCTTTTATAAAGAACACAAATAGTTCAGGATCAAATAACAAATATTACGGCAACACTTCATTCGTAAAACCATAAAAACATTTTACTTCTCAAAAATCAGGCTTTGTCATGAATTTTATTTACTTCTACGCCATTTGTTATCAAGAAAAGGACAACAATACAGCTCAGCCGTTTTCGCAGTCGAATGTCAAGCGACGCGGTCTCACCGTTTTGCTCGCGCTGTGTTCAAGCGTACAGTACCCGTAGCACGAACCAATAACAAATTCGTATCGTTCGTGAGTCCGAAATGTCATTGCCAATTTTGAATGGAAACTTGAACAACAGCGCCAAAATGTACGTAAGGAGAACTAACAATCAGTACACATTTGACATATACTTAATATTTAAATAAATTATGTAAAATAAATTTTGTATGGAAACTTGAACAGCAGCGGCACAAAGTACGTAACGAGAACTAAAAATCAGTTCAAACTCATTTATTCAGTCTAGGCTGTTACAAGCTCTTGTGAAAGTCAAACGCTACGCCGTCGGTTCGTAAATCTACGGCGGGAGACCTTGTACTGAGAAGAACCGACAAGAAACTCAGCAAGGGCTATTTTTTTCTCCCTGTTTTGTTTCAAACAGTGTCGTCAATTGAAAGATGACATCAAAAATTGAAAACATGTGTTGATGTCAATTTCCATCACATTAATATTATTAATTAACAAAAGTTTAGTATAGCTAGGTACTACTTTTAAATTTAGAAGTGGCGATTAAACAATTTTCAACCAAATCAGCAAAGTAAAACGATTTAGTCTGTTATATTAAGCTCAAGGTGACTTATCATTTATGAAATCTTTAACAGTATAGTAACCTATCTTAAGGAGACATGTTTTTATACACACTTTAAACTTATTTAAAGGTAAATTAATTATTTCTTTTGGTATTATATTATAGTAACATATACCTTGACCCACAAATGAACCAAGAACCTTTTGGAGTCTGAACGGTGGCAATTTGAGTTTATCTTTATTTCTGGTATTGAAATTATGTACATCATCGCGCTTCGTATATAAATTTATGTTCTGACGCACAAACAATATACAATTGTAAATGTATTGAGAGGCAACAGTCATTATACCTATTTCTTTAAATTTATCCCTTAGAGAAAGAAGTTCGACATCCCAAGCGATAAATAGCTCTGATAGCGCGTTTGTGAAGAATAAAAACTGTTTCAATGTCAGCGGCCGTGCCCCACAATAGAATGCCATACGACATAATGCTGTGAAAATAGCTGAAGTATATTGTCCTAGCAGTGTCGACATCTGTAAGCCGTCTTATTTTATAGATTGCATAAGTAGCGGAACTAAGTTTACCGGCTAGTGTTGTAATGTGAGGGTTCCATTGAAGTTTGTGGTCTAGTGTTACGCCTAAGAAAACGGTTGTATCGACTAAAATTAGTTTTTCACCATTTAGAATTATATCCCCAATATCAGCATGCTTTACATTCGGCAAAGTAAATTTCACACATTTAGTTTTGCTTGCATTAAGTCTAAGATTATTAGAAGAGAACCAGTGAAGTACCTTGGAAAGTGCATTGTTTACATCGTGATAATTAGTTTTATACCTGTCAACGTTAAAAATTAGTGAGGTGTCATCTGCAAACAAACCAATTTCACAAAAATTTTCTACAAAGAAAGGTAAATCATTAATGTAAATTAAAAAAGAAATGGACCTAAAATTGAACCCTGAGGAACGCCTATTTTCACATGAGATCCGGCAGATTTTTCACCGTTAATATCAACTATTTGTCTCCTTTCTGTTAAATATGATTGCACTAATTTTTGTGCGGAATCTTTTATGCCGTAATGATTTAATTTCCGTAACATAGTTTGATGATTAACGCCATCAAAGGCTTTAGATAAATCGCAGAAAACCCTAAGAGCATTCTGCGACTTTTCCCAAGCATTAAATATATATTTTAGCATAGTGGCACCAGTTGTGGAACGGTTTTTAGTGAAACCGTACTGCGCTCTGTGTAAAAGTTTATTAATGTTAAAATTAGTCAACAATTGTTCTAACATTATTTTTTCAAAGATTTTACTCAATGCTGGTAATATAGATATTGGCCTATAGTTGCTAGGATCTTTACAATTTCCAGACTTAAATAAAGGTATGATTTTACTGTATTTCATAAGATCAGGGAATACTCCCTGATCTATACATGAATTAAAAATATCAGCTAGGTAAGGGGCTATAGAATGTATAATATTATTTATGACTTTCACAGATATACCCCATAAATCAGATGCATTTTTCATTTTTAATGAATGGACAACTTTAATTATTTTAAAAGAACTAACGTGCTTGAAATTAAACAATAAACCACAAGGAGGTACATATTTTTTTAACAGAGCTGTAGCAGTATCAGACGATGAGTCCAAGTTGGAAGTAGTTTCTAATGGTATATTCATAAAGAATTTATCGAAAATATCTGCGACTTCATGTTTCGATTTTACGAGATTATTATTGATTTTAAGAACCATGCTATTATTGCATTTCAAAGACAATGACATTTGGATCGTTGAACGTTGGATCTCGACATCAACTACCTTATTCCTGCCCAAACCACCAAAGCTGTATGGGTTACCGAAAATACACAAACCGAATGCTCCGCTACGTCCGATTGTAAGCCAGATTGATTCACCAACATACCGTTTGGCTAAACACGTAGCAAAGTTACTTTCACCGCTGAGAGGTAACATAACAGCCTTTGTGAAAGATTCAAACCAATTTGTCAATGAGATTAGAGATCAACGTCTCATGGACAATGAAGTCATGGTCAGTTTGATGTTCATTCCTTATTTACATGCCTACCAGTACGGGACTGCATTGAAATCACTAAGAAGCTACTAGAAAATAATATGCCTGTAGAATATGCACCTGTAACGGGGGGGATGACGTCTATGACAAATGGAGGGCGTTGCGATGGGTTCCCCTGTCTCATCTGTTGTCGCCGATATTTTCATGGAAGACTTCGAGAAGAGGGCTCTCAGCGTGGTACTACCTTACATGAAAGGAGTCACTGACAAGATTGGGAAGATTCTGATGCGTGCTTCAATCAATACTTACTTCAAGCCGCCAAAGAAGATCAACCAGTTTCTACGACCGGTCAAGTGCAATATACCCTTTCAAGTTGCTGGTGTCTACAAACTTGAATGCGACTGTGGGCTCTCCTACATCGGGCAAACAAAGAGGAGTATAGGGACTCGGTTAAAAGAACATATCGCAGATATGAAACATAGGCGCGAAAATAAGTCTGCAGTGTGTGAACATGCATTAGGGGGACCAAACCATTACATTAGATTTGATAAACCACAGATCCTTGCAATTGAGCAACGATTCATTCCTAGAATGATATATGAGGCTATTGAGATTAAAAAATATCTAAATTTCAATAGGGAAGATGGTTGGTATATACCACCAGCTTGGGAACCCATTATACAGGAGATAAAACCCTAACCCCGAGCACACACTGCACAACCAACAGATACTATTAGTTCTTTTTGTTTGCATAATTTAACATAAGAAGGAGATAGAAAGCCCCTCTTGAGTTTGTTTCGCCGGTTCCTCTCAGAAAGGTCTCCCAATTTTGGAACCGGTGGTAGTTTATGGTAGATAGGGTCAAATAAATAAACTTAAAATTACAAAAAAGAATTTTAAATAAAGTACTTTATTAACTAAATTAGGTAATAATAAAACTTTAAAAATCGAACAATGAAATAACCGAACGCTCAATAAAAGTCTTTCGAAGGTTGCTCAACAATAGTACATTACGATACGCGTGACCTAAGTTGCCTATTGATGCTAGTGTGAGCATACCGTATCTTCCTTTTTGTTTTAATCTAAGGGCGCAAGTGATACTCAGGCTCAGGCAAACTTCTTGAGCAAAACCACAGACAATGCTAGACAACTTGCGCAGTAGAGAAGTTTATAATGTAAAATTTCTACTGCCTGCGCAGGCATCCTTGTCTATGGTCGATGCTCATGAAGTTTGCCGGGGTGAAAATTGCAAGCGTCTAATTTTTAACAGACTCCAAAAAGGAGGCGGTTCTCAATGTTGCATTATATAGTTTTTTTAATTGTTGTTCACAAATATCGTGTCCGTGATGCTAGCGTACCCACGATCAATATACGGTTTTTCGTTATGCCATTAAATACTGCGTAAATAGTGCCAAATTAGTGTAAAAATAAAAAAAATAGTGCCTCTTTAATTTAAGAAATAAAGACCATTTTTACTGTGTACGCTACCATGACGTCAAGCTAGCGTACCCATGGCCGACCCCAAGAACGGCATATATTTAAGCAACGAAATTGACACACAAAATAGTTCGCAAATAGTGCCCTGGCTTTACAAAATTTCATAATCAGTACTCTTAAAGGACCAAAGATATTGAATTAAACATTCTTAGCTGGCGTCAACCTGGCGTACCCATAATAGTTCTCATAGAAAATGAACTTTTCTCGTTACCAATTCTATATGTATAAATAGTGTGTCAAATAGTGCCTCTAACAGAAAAAGTATTTTATGTTAATTCGCAGTAAAACAATATAAAAAAGCAATTAAATTATTTTTATATATGAAGTACAGTCATGTAAGAAGTGATAATATTTTCGTAGTATAGTAGGTAAGTAAGGTACTTAGTAAGTAGTTTGAAATTCTTATATGAGTTTATGATTGGTGAATTCGAATTGAAATAAAATATCTTTTCATAAAAAGTACCTATTTATTTTAGTAAAAATACATATATAGATAATCTCTTAGTGCATAAATTAATTTTGTGTGTAACTGTACTACAATACATATGTTCCTAGAATTTAACATCCTCTTTATGGATTGTTGTGATGCGGATTCACATAAAATACTTTTACTGTTAGAGGCACTATTTGAGACACTATTTATACATATAGAATTGATAACGAGAAAAGTTCATTTTCTATGAGAACTATTATGGTTCATTTTCTATGAGAACTTATGAGAACTGGGTACGCCAGGTTGACGCCAGCTAAGAATGTTTAGTTCAATATCTTTGGTCCTTTAAGAGTATTGATTATGAAATTTTGTAAAGCCAGGGCACCATTTGCGCACTATTTTTGTGTGTCAATTTCGTTGCTTAAATATATGCCGTTCTTAGGGTCGGCCATGGGTACGCTAGCTTGACGTCATGGTAGCGTACACAGTAAAAATGGTCTTTATTTCTTAAATTAAAGTGGCACTAGTTTTTTTATTTTTACACTAATTTGGCACTATTTACGCAGTATTTAATGACATAACGAAAAACCGTATATTGATCGTGGGTACGCTAGCATCACGGACACCAAATATCTCCGTGATGCGTGGACCTATTATTCTGTATATTCTCTTTTTATTTTCTACGCTTCTACACTGTGCATGATGTTTATTTATTTTGGTACCTATATTTTGGTCTTTACTCCAGTATAAAATTAAAACATTAACATACAAACCATCCAAAAACTAAATCCATTTCGACTGTATTCGAAATAATGTTAAGTCAAATAAAAAGTATTTTAAAAATGCTCTATGATTTACCTAGAGCGTTCGGCCTGCGATCGTAGAAGTTCAGCATCATTCGCAACGGTCAGACATTGGATGGGTGACCAAAAACTTTCCGTGATTTTAAAGGCACGTTAAGCCGTTGGTGCCAGCTGCATCCGCGGTCGTTAGCGCCCATCAATGGTCACTGGGCCCGTGTGGGTGGGTGATGACCCAATCTCCCATTCCATCCACAGGGAAGGCCTTTGCCCCAGCAGTGGGGGCATTATTATACTGGTGATGATGAGTTACATACTATAAGTAGTTACTGTGTAATATACTTTCTTTTCAGGATCACGTTACCCAAATGGCGCCTGTAGTACGATCTCTGCAAGAACTGGAGTCTCAGACGCAACTGTATTACCTCAAAATGCACCACAACGTTACTATAGCGTAATTTCGCAGATAGTATGTTTAATACGCCCACAAAATGTAACCTATGAATAAATGATTGTGCGTTGGATACCTTTGTTTGGTTTTCTATTTAATTTGTGAAAAGAAAATGGTGGGAACAACATACCAAATCGCATTTTATGACCTGCTTGGCCTATTCGCTAACTTTTTTGACATTTACAGTGTGTAACTAAGTGAAAAATGTGCGTGGCTTACGAGGGTCCACAGTGGAAAACGGGTTTCGCATTAATAAAGATTTAACAGGACCTTTAAAAAAGTTGTAGCCAGAAGGATTTTGTAGCTATTGTAAGTAGAACGCTACGACTCGCTGACGGAACGCCTCAACGTATTACTGTATCAGACCAATTAAATAATTTTGATGAATAGTCATATTTAAATTTGAGCTCTGTTGAGCGACTACAAATAAAGAAAATCCAATCAGTTGGTGGGCCCTCAGTTCTTACGTGTCCAAAATTTACTCTACTGCTACAAATTTGTATAAAGCTAAGTTTGTTTGGCAAACTTTGATTGTTGCTTGCTTCTGATGATTGTAATAATAAATTTTGTGTTTTTCGTTGTAATTTTACTTTATTGATCATTAAGCAGTAATGGATCACTAAATAGCTCGGTGATAATTACTTTCATTTGTCAAAAGCAGTTACCGAATAGGCATACTGGATCTACAACGTTAATTAGTGCTTCATTGTGCTTAATTTACACGTCACAGCCAAACCACTTTTACTAGACTACTTTTAGTATGTAACATTTATGTAAACGCTCAGTGTGCCCGAATGCGATAATAAAAGTAAGTTTTCGTAAAAGTAATTATAGGATTAAGGGCATAAATTTATTTTAAATTATTCAAGTGTGAATGGAGTGAGGAGCAAAAATGAATAAAACAATACCATCAAATCTTAATTCTTTTATTTCACTCAATCTCTACTAATTTATTTATCTAGGGCAGTGCATAGCGGCCCGCGTTTTAATAAATTATTAAGTCTCATAACACCACTATTATGAAAATAGCTGTTAAAAATAGAATACTGTGGCTATTATCCAAAAGGACTTAAATACAAACTTCATAGAACTGTTGGGAAGGTAACACTAAAATGTATAAAAATAGTGTCTGAAACCCCTCCGTATCAGAAGGACTATCAATTAAAATGCCCTAGTTTTTTTTAATAGCGAGGTACGCAAATTACTCCACCCCACCTGATGTAAAGTAGTGACAAAGTCCAAACGCGAAGATAACTGGTACAGCAGTTATAAACTGCTACACCAACCATCCTCACCTTGCCGGCCTGCAAAAAGGCTTCTTTACTCCTCTCTTAAAGGACCTAAGATTGTAGGAAGGGGGGAACACGTGCGCGGGCAAACAATTCCACTTACTAATAGTACGACAAAGAAATGAGTCACCAATTTTCTTTGTTCCTGTAAGAATAGTGGCCAGAGTAAGTCGGTGACAACGTATGCCAGCGCGCGTGGTCCTCCGAAGAAAAGGTGATGGAGGGATAAATGACGTTAAAGCAAAACGACCTGCTAGTAAAACGTCTGAAATTTTAAATTGTCCTAGTAGAACGTCTGAAATGTATAAACGGTATATTGGGCAAAATGACTTTCCTACATATATAATAATGAACAATCAAGTGTTCAAAATAAAAAATCATTATATTTTATGGGTGTACTGTGTAAGTAGAAGTACTCCACATTCCACTTATAGTAATCCAGACGAAAACTATTTTGTTAAATAAAAATATTAGAGCTTTGGAAAATCCAATCCCGACATCTTGCCAAGCTTTGTATCCAAAAAAAAGGTACATTGTATCGAGCTTGACGAAAATTAAAGCATAAGGACAGTAAAAAATAAAATATCCCTTTATTTATTAAAACGTTTTTCGCATTTGGAAACGCATTATTTTTGGGGACGAATACTAAACCCGACTAAAAAAAAATTATATGATAACATAATAATTTTATTTCTATGAAAAAAGTTTTTTTTTTCATAAATTATAATGAGAAAAAAAGAATAACTTAAAATTAAAACAATTAACTTTTTTTTCTTGGATTTATTTAATTCTACGTCAGTATACCAGTCTTTTTGCCCAACATGCCGTTAATACATTTCAGACGTACTACTAGTATGAAGATTTTAAAGGAGAATGTTAAAATTGGCCTCAGAACCAACACCAATTTGGCATTTATGATAATTCTTAGTATATTTTTTGCAATAATTATCAGTATTTAGATTGTGACGGACACTTCCAGTTAAGTAAACTAAATTAAAAAGTAAAAAAATAATCTGAGACAATTGATACCATTTTATGTGTATAATCTATGACAGCGCTGCAAACAAAACTCTTTCTTCCTAATGCGGGCACTTCACTTGGCTATTCGTATTTGCTATTTGAAAACTTGACATCAGTCTGTCCTTTTCATTCCTTATTAAGCATGACAAGGACAAACTGTTGTCAAGTGAAGGGCCGGCATAAAACTCGATAGTCTGTGGTTGTGGTGCAGGCAGTTTGCATTCGTTGTAATCTGTGGCATTCGTGCATTCTCGTTTCCGATTACCTATTGTGTGTTTAATTGCGATTGTTTTTCCTATAATAACTATTGCGGCTATCTAATATGCCATCGATATTACCAAAGAGCAGAGACCTTATTACCAAGTGCTAGTGAACCTGTGCTACAACATCCTAAAAGAATCATACTACTAAATTATTCAAGAGCACCTGATACACATTCACGCTGCATATTTACACAATATACATGTGATATACAAATAAATACAATATACAATATGATAAAGTAATATATACCACAGTAATAGTTTTCCTAATAATTTAAGTTCTCAGAAGTGTCCGTCAATAATCTTTGTTTTTACAGTCATTTACTTGCGATTTCAAATCTAGAAAATAATATTTCATGATTGTTTGTTCTTAGGCTAACTATGTATGGACGCAGAACAATGTCCTTTCAGACGTTTTATTAGTAAGTCATTTTACTTTTTCAAGTCGAATATCCCACAGAGTCATTGTATTAAATTGGTCTTCTGATATGGAGAGTCTGAAACTACATTTTAAAGAAAAAAAAACATTTTTAAAGTAGCAGCATAAATTCATCATTACAATATAGTGTGAAAAAATAACTCATAGAAAAAAAGGTTTAACAAGCATCTTTGTGGTCACTGTCGAGTTATAAATAGTGAGTTGCAATCTCATTTGCGTCTGCGTAAACATATTTTTTGATACGATGTTAATATTATGCACGCTGCGTTTTCCAACATGTGGTGCTCCTCAAATAACTAAACAATTTTACGTTTTGCAATCGTGATCGATAGAAACTCACTTATCGTTTTGATGTATTTATACATAACAATATTCAATTCAAATAAATTTAGTTGTACTTCAATTCAAACTATTTTAATATTAAAATTATTGTTTAGTAGAAAAAAAAAAGAGTTAAGGTTACATAATTTATTTAAACCAAACCGTGGATCAGTGATGGTCCACAAACAAATCGATAAATCTAACAAAATCAGTAGCGAAAAACCAGAAATATTTACTTCATCGTTACTATCGTAATTGGAAAAATTATAAAGCAAAATTGACACTTTACTTTTCGATGAGGGATTTCTGAAAAAAACGTGCTCTAGGTGGCAGCACTGAGGATCCACACAAATATTAAAGCTCTTATGTTAACCTGCGTCGCTCATGGAATCGACTTGTTTAAATGAAATATCTATGTGATACAAACGATTCCAAAGCATAGAGGTATAAGAATAGAGTAGGGGAGATATAGACTACTACAAATGGAAGTGTCCCTCTAATAGAAAGAGAAAGAAGATGAGAGACCGTTAGCTTTCTCTCTCTAATCGCGCATGCGCATTGGCAACCATAAGCATCTTACTATTTTGATGTGATGCCATTGGTCTCTCATCTTCTTTCTCTTTCTACTAGACGGACACTTTTAGAGCCGCCTTCCCCACTCTATTCTTATACCTCTATGTTCCAAAGAGTCCTGCCCATATAAATGTATAATTTGGAACTGATTCTCCAAGCGACAATGGAAGGTACAACGCAAGCGAGAAACGAACTGGCAATTCAGAGGCCTAAACACGAGTTTTGACAGCGCCGTAAAGTAACGTTATCGCCAAAGTTTCTATGAAAACTAAGCAGTGTCCCTATCGGACGTAAGAAAAAACTAGTTTTTTCCATGCAATTTTTATAATTTGTAGTTACTTTCAGTATATTACTTTAAGGAGCTGCCAACAACTCGTGCTAGGGCCTCAGTTCTCCAAGCACGAACAACTAGCGCGAAAGTATTCGTATAGCCATCGTCAGGGTCTATGGAAGGAGCTAGTTTGTTCTTTTGGGTCCGGTAGGGGCGCTGCTTAGTTACCATAGAAACTATGACAATAGAATACTTATTCGTTAGTTGTTCGTGCCTGGAGCACTGTTCACAGCATCGGCCATCTGATCCTGATATCTAAATCTGAGTCGACTATAATGGCCCACCATACCAATCAAGTAAGGAAATCGAAGGACCATAATTGATCGTCGGTCAATTTGTCCCTGTTGGGGCGAGCAAAGAATTCCAAATATTTCTTTTCTCTAAGTCCAGCCAGCCAACGCAATGTAAATGACCTCGATGTACCAATTAAGTCAAAAAACGCTTAGTACTGATCCAGATGCAAATTCTACAATCTCATTATATTTGGCGAGGAGCGAAGGAGTGAGAGAAAGAGATCATTTTATAAATGTTTCATTTGGGACTCAGTGATTATACATTTGGCAAGACTACTACAACATCTATGAACTAATTTAATATAATTCTTAGTTACCATTTTGTTATTTAAATGTTAATTATAAGGTGGCGCCCAACTAGTAGTGTACATTTTCCTGAAACCCCTCTATAACAAGACCGTTGAAATATTATGGAAAAACTTTTCACGAATGTTAACCATTAAAAAGAATATCTGGGATTTTCGCTATTTTTAATATG